GGAAGTGTCAGTCAGATCCCGATCGCTCGCTTCCATAGTGTGGGAGTAAGCGGCTTCAAAGGAGTAAGCAGCTTTCGCTACTCGATCGGCATATCAGCGATCTCTGGCGCTAGTGTTTGCACACCAACCTGGCTTGGATCGGTCTCTGGTGCACGGCAAGGTGGCGTTCAGACCTCACTTTTCGGCGACCAAGGCAGCATCTGGAACGCCTGTTGAGGCGCCCCTCTCTCTGTTTCCCTGCAGGATCTGGCGCACGCATGCGCTGACGAGTTGGAGGAGGGCCTGGAGATTTGGCAGCAAGCGGTGGACGCGGGGTGCGAGCAGGAGCTCCTCCGGGACCCCAAGGGTGAGCCGCTGCTGACGTCACTCTCCTCTCTTGCACCTTCGCGGACGTCATTACTGTCATTGCCCTGGTGGTTGGGTTCAAACTGCTGCTGCTATTTCTCTGCCGGTCTGGTTCGCATTTACGCTGAGCGGCTGCTGACGTGAAACTGCTCCAGGAAGGTCCTGTTTGCTCTCTAGATTTCTGGCCCGCGTGCCAACAGCTCAAAACGCCGCTTTAAGAGAACGCACTATCGGCCTTTTTCTGCTACGAGCCATCAGGGGTTTGGAGCCATCAGGGATTTGGCTTCTGAATCACGCTGAGTCCCTGGGTGCCGGTTTCACCGGCTGAACCCCTCCAAGAGTCATCAGTACGCTTCTTCCAATTCAGAACATACGACTGGAGCCCTGCTCTTCGTGAATTGTCTATGATCACCCCGCTTTTCGGGCTTGACTTTCGCTTTTTGTGCACGAAGATAAGTCAACCAACTCAGCTGTTCTGTCCTCCTCAGAGCTGCCCCTTTGCTTCTGTCCTTCCCAAACGTCCGCAGCAGTCCTCTTTCTCTCTGACAGGAAAAAGAAGTTAAGAAAGGATAAACAGTTGAACTGCTTCATGGATCATCTAACATCCTCTCTCACCGTTTGGCCGCCGCTGTCTCGCTCTCCCCAGCCCTTGGGAATAGCTCGTCCCTTCTACTTGTTCTCTTCCACAGAAAAACGAACAAGAAGATATGCAGATTGCATCTGTATGCTTTTGTTCCTCTTCTCTTGCAGGCCGTTCTGGTTTCCCCTCGCCCTGCCACGTCCACCTTATCGTGACGCTTTCCACGTTCCTCGTTATTTCTCAAAGTAAAGAGACAGCAAGACGAGAACAGATACGTTTCTCTCAACGCTAATCCTTACGATTTCCGCAGGCCGCCGCTACTTCTCCGCCCTCTGCCGCGTCTACCTCGTCGCCGCGCTCCTCTCCTCTCTAGTTCGCTGGCGCAAGCCGTGGCTCGCAAACGCCCCCCCCGCTACGGCCGACAGCCTCCAATCCTGCCTGCACGACTGCCGGCGCGCAGCCGACGGCGGCCTGCGGAGCGCACTCCGCGCGGTTTCGGGCCGAGGCGAGGGTTTAGGGTTTAAGGAAGTGTGGGCGACCGCGCAGGGCGCGGTGCTCGAGGCGGCGGTGGGAAAAGGCCCCCGGCAGCCGGTTTGTGGGCTCACGCTGGTTCCCCAGCACGTCATAAAAGGTGAGGAATCTTGGGACGGTGGGATGCGTGGGAAGTCTGTTCTGCGTTGGGTGGACACTCTTAAGCGCCTCGTGCTTGACCCCTCGTTGCTCTGAATGGTTCTCTGTTCTCCTCGTGAGTGGTCGATCTGCAACTAGTGGTACTTTCGAGAGACACTTCCCTCTATGGTATGACAGTCAAAGGTCCTAGCTGTGCGCTGCGCGAGCATGCAAAGGAACAAAGGGCTGGCCCAGTTCCCAATGTCTGCGTGTCTTGTCTTTTTTGTTTCTTTTGAAGAATCTCTCTTCTAGTCATTTAACGTAGTCATCGACTCTGGCCTGAGTTTGGTGCCACTCTTTGCCTACAAAGATAGGGGCTCATAACTTCAGCCCAAGACGCCAAATTTTGGAGCAGCCGTAGGTCACTGTACTCGGTATTTGCACTTGCGCTCCCTACTCTGTTCATCGGCAAGCCAGATGCGCTCGAACCTTTGAAAGATAGAGCTTCTTCACACAAGTTTCGGCTGCCATGTGCTAAAAGCTGAAGGATAGAGCTTTTTATTGACAAGCATCGAACCCGAAAAGTGTTGTGCTTGTTGCAGCGCTTCCCCTGATCACGTGGCAGGGCCGTCAGTTCCTCGCTCCGGTAGCAAACCTGTGGCGCAATAGGATATCCCCCTCTTGTCCAGACGTATCGCTTCCCTGACACGTTCACGAGTTGTTCAGTCCGTTCCTAGGTTGAATAGGTCCTGTCAATCCTTGCGCCGCCGCTTTCGACACTGATCTTTAGCATTGCAGTAATACTGTTTCAGCAAGTTGACTCGTCTGAGTGGCAGCTGAGAAACGCTGGCCTTACCTTCTCAAAGTCCTCGTTCTTGCATGAACAACTAGCCGGAAGGAGTCCATAGTGCATGCATCCATGTCAATTGGCATTCAATGACTTTGCTTGCAATGCTCTTCGATCTTGCTAGCATCATCATTAGTATGGCCTGTGAATAAAGCCACGTATATTAACTTAGCTAGGTAGCGTGATTGTGTGCACTTGTTGTTGTAGGCCAATTAGTAAACCTTAGGGTCCTTTGATATGGTGGCTTGTCCATCTGAATCAGGAGATCGTGTACACTAGCTTCTGTTCGCAATGATGCGTCATGTCACTGAGCTTGTAATGGTGGAATTAATTCAAGCAGTGCGGGCCGGTATACAGCAGCCCAACCATAGGCGAGTAAGAGCGTGACGCGCTTCCGACAAAGCTGCCATGGCATACGCGTATATATATGCACAGCACGAGTCAGATCGCCGGGCCTGCATAATCACTCATGGATACCGGACCAGACTCAGTGGCGCGCAGCCTGCGCACTTTACATCATGCGCGTCGAATAAAACGTACAAATATGATATTGTACGTACTTCGAAGCGAGCGTGACAGTGACTCTGTGGACTCCAACAGAAATTTTGATTGCATATGATGGTGACATGCATCATGCATGTGCACGGGGATGCATTGATTGCCGAAGACTCATCGCGCCGCTTTGGTCTGGCACGTTTGATAAGTTCAATCAAATGTCTCCTTGACCGTCCGAACTCAAGGTCCATGGAAAGGCCCGAGCTAGAGAACCTGCAGCTAGAATAACAAATCAACCGTGTGGTCCCTTGTCCCATGGTCGGACCGTTCGTACCCACCGACCTACCGGACCATTCGGACCTACCGGACCTCAAATCTCGCCGCATCCTCACCATACCTGACATGTCAAGTTCATCACAATCCAGACAAAACTACGCTCAAAAGTCCAAAAGAACGGCCCGATGCACCGCGGCACAGAAGGCTTTAACAGCTGTACAATTCTCTTCAGCAACTTGGTATTTACACTCTGTACGCCCAACAAACCTAAAAGCGGGTCGACAAACCGACCTGATTAGCAACTACCCGAAAATGTCTCCTTGCAAACTTTAGCAGTTCGTGTGACCCCTAAGGAAAAGCTCTCAAGATCGACTTGCAATGGCTAGGGTTGTATCATGTTGCAAAAGCGGCCCCTAGTCTGGTATATCCGACAAGGAAGGTTGTTAGCTCGTCAGGTTTTCGTGCAACGGTTGCTCCAGCGGCAATGGTCAACCCCTTGCCCGCTTGCCAGTTGTACAGTAGAGTCCGCCAAATCTAGCTAACCTCTAAGCCTTAACCGAGTTTCACCGTTTACACTCGCAGTCGCCAGCTCCTCAGATCGCACTATACTAAGCCGCCGCTGTCTTACACGATTGCCACAGACGCGCGCGCGCGTTTTGAGTCCTTTGCAAAAAGCGGATCTAGCAGCCGCTTCCAGGCGTCTAGGTCCCAGTTGTTGGTGGCTCCAAGAGGAGCGCCGTTAACGAGATGGGTCGGAGTCCACACGACGCTCCGAGCGCAACCGTACTGCAGGGACATTCCAGACGAAAGATTAGCTGGAGTGTCAACGTCCGCATAAGCTTCTACCACAAGCTCTATCGTGTCTGCCTCAGACCGTATCCTGCAAGTGCTTTGTTTCAACCCTGTTCCATGCGGGGATTCTCCGGATTGCACGCTGTCAGAAGCGCCTGCAAAAGAAGGGAAGAACAGAAGAGAAGAAATATACGTGAAAAGACCGTGATGAGCAGAAAAACGACGCTCACATTTGAAAGAGACCCGCACAGCCAGGTTCGCATCCTTCTCGTCAAACGTGTGCGAATACGTGTAGCGTTGGAAGGATCAGCCAAAGATAAGACGAAGAAGGCCAGAAACACAACATGCATTCGAAAGAATGTGACACGCTTGAACAACATGACCGGGAACCCAGACTTTAACCTCTCCGTACGATGCTTGCCATGCGAGAAACGGAGACAGAACAGATGGCGCAGAAGCAGAAACGGGAGGAAAAGAACGCCTGAAATAGAAGGTACCGGAAATTACCTATCACACGACAGAAGGACTTAGCGAAACACGAGCCCAGAAAGATGCTATGTAAAGAAGGGACAACAAGAAAGACATGAAAAAGGAAGTGCAAAATACCGCCAAAAGGAGGGGGGGAATGAACACGAACCAAAAAGGGGGTGGGAAAGCACACGAACCCACCTTGAATGAGACACGCGCTGCAAGGTCGACATCCTCCCTGTCGAACGCATGCAGAAACGAAGTCCCCGAGAGGCCGATCTTTGGCGCGATGTCGGAGAAGCGTTCGAGGGTCGAAGCGGGCGTTTCGAGCGCCGTCGCGTTGTTGTCGAACCGCTCCTGACGCTCGAATACGGCCTCCATCCACGCGATCGGGAGCGACGAGTTGAGGGCGGCTACAGCGTGCATGCCGCGCGCGGCGTGGAAGGAGTAGTGGTGGAAGCTGCAGCGGGGTTTGTGTTCTGCTCATACTATGTCTTCACAGTCGATGAATTGTGAGAATAGTCGTGGAAATTGCAACGGGAGGTTTGTTTATTATATTGCTTGTTCCTTATGGTCGGCTTGTTTGAAATAATGCTTGTTCGTTATAGTCGGCTTAAAGTCCGTCTGGTGTTCCAAACAGACAGATGGCACATGAATTGAAAGGGCGTGCATCCCGCGAGCGTCTTCGAAGGAGTAGTAGTGAAAACTGCTAGAAGAGTTGTCATATTCTCGTACTTCGCACTACAAAATAAGTATTTCTAGATACAGAACGGCGATCCAAGGAAACTCGTGAGTTGACAGCGGCTATGGCATGCCAGCCTGGCGCGGCGTAGAAGGAGTAGTGGTGGAAACTGCAAAAGGCGGTGTGGTTATTCCAAACTTCTCGTTCAAATTAAACATTTTGAAGATACAGAACGGCGACCTGGGGGGACGATTTAAGGGCAGCTACGGCGTGGATGCTATGAGCAGCGTTGTAATGGTGGAAACTGCAAAGGCGGGTGTGTATTCTCGTACTGGTTCCTAAGAATCGATGAAAGAGGGTTTGGTGGATATACAAAGTTAGGTTGTAGATGGAATGGCGCTTCAGAGAGAGGAGTTAAGGGCTTGCGTGCATTCGGCAGACAGCACAAAACGGACGGTGTTGGAAGCAGCAAGGGCGAGCGTGCACATCAGAGCAGTTCATCTTGTTCAGTGACTATGGAGTCACGATGGCATGAATGAATCCTAGTGGTCAAAACAAGTTTGATCTATCTGGAGAAATGCGGTATTGGGGAGAGGCCGGATCAAAAAAATCACAAAAACGGGTGTGCAAGAAGAGGACAACACGGAACTGATTACGACACAAGCTCCTCTGAGGCGCCTGCTTAGTTAAGCAGACGATTCTTGGCTTGAAAAGTTTTTCCTCAGAGTTCGAGGAAAGAAAAGTTGGATCAAGAAGCAGCTTTCAAGAAGAAAGGACCACAAAGTTGAAGAAGTAGCTCAAAGCTTGGTTGGAGAAGTTGGCTCACGGGTTGGAGAAAGGATGGATGATGATGTCGACCTTGTCGTCCCCATAGTACGTTGAAACGTTCTTCAGAACGGGCCAAGAGGCGCGGCAGCTGGGACACCTGGATAGGCAAGAAAGGTCAACGTTTAACCACGTCTCTTTGGTGGTGGTTCATTCGTTGGTTAGTGGCTAGTTAGTGGCTGGTAGACTGCTAATCACTTTGTGGCCTACTGTTGCCACCTGATCATTGCTTCCTGACAGATGAGTGGTTGACTAAGGATCTCATGAAGGAGCATCATGGAGTCAGGTTAGCTGCCTTTGAAAAGGGGTAAGTTAAATCTTGCTGTATGCTGGAACTTGATGTGGGGGGAAGACGGGATCAGGCATTATCTGGAGTTGCAGTTGTCCGAAAACTTTCAAGGGCTTGGGAAAAAAGGGTGAACAATCTGCTGCCACCAGCCTGCAAAGCCCCCTCTGTTGTTCGAAACAGTAAGATATGCGCACGGACGACGATAAAATCAATGGAGTGGAGGTCAAAGTGGGGCTCCAAGCTCAGCAATGATCAAAATGAAAGAACTAGCATCAAGCGTACTGATTACAAGCTCACTGCATTGATGTGCATGGTGTGCATGGAACTTTTGGAGATTGCTAGACTTTACAAGGTGATGGAACCTACACTTCTGGTGTCTTTGCACCTCTTTTGCCTCTTTACTACGGCACCTCAGCAAAGAATCTCATGAACGAATCGTTTGCGAAATATCTAACACTGGGGGTGAGCTACAAGGGTGCAACAATTGACCGGCACATGTCTGCTCCATCCGCTGGCTCTGATCTCTTGCAAACAAGATAGCTACTTTTGCCATAGTACTCCTATCAGGATTAAATTGTAACTAGGCCCAGTGAGATGTCCTACTCCTTAAAAAGCTCTCTGAACCCTTGGAATTGCAAATGAGCTGCAGTTGTAGATATGCAACAGAAAGACGATGTCACTCACATGATGTCCAGAAAAGCCTCGATCACAATTGCATCATTGCCCCCCTTCCCATAGAGGAAGCCATCGTACCGCCGAGGGACTGGAAATTGGGCATTCACAGGCCCAATCACAGCACCGAAGACAAGGATCAGAATAAGGGCCCCATAGATCGCTGGATCAGATTTCAGCAATGCTGCCATGGCTTCTGCTCATGCACGGCAATCGCCAATCGGCTCTTCAGAGTAGGATGGCAGGCTGCAGCGCAAAGTGGACAATTCATCAGTTTTTCTGTTTTTTGATATTTTTGTACTTGTATTTTAGTTCTTTTGTTTACATATTTGCGGTCGTTTTTTCATATTTTGATACTTTTTGGCTTGTTTTTCAGTATTTTGGTATTTTTTGCGCACGTATTTTAGTATTTTGATATATTCTTTCCAGTTTCTATGTAAGTTTTTTTGCTTTTTTGTTATTTTTCGGTTTTTCGGTTTTTCGGTTTTTCGGTTTTTCTGTTTTTTCGGTTTTCCGGTTTTTCGGTTTTTTAGTTTTTTAGTTTTTTAGTTTTTTAGTTTTTTAGTTTTTTAGTTTTTTACGCTACGGCAGTCAGGGGGACCAAACACCCCGGGTAAGAAAGTTAGCAACATGAACCATGTGCCAGCAGCTAAACGGCGAATTGCCCGGAACTGAAAATTGTTGGGATTGAAGTTTGAACCTCCACAGGGTCACCTTTCAAAACCCAGAGTTTGGGGTCCGGGCAACGCGCCGTTTAGGGGGAATTGGGGGCAGGTTTAGGTGGGTTAACCATCCAAAAAACTATCAACCCACCTCTAACACTTGTCTTAACCCTTTCCTCAGACTAACCGATCGGACCGCATCGGGCTCGGGACATCCAAACTATGCAATCTCGACCGTGCAGATCGGAAAATTTCTCATCTGACGGTGCGGATCATGGTTCGCTCTGTTTCAGTGGTGTTTGGTCCCCCTGACGGCAGTACTCACCCCGGTCAGTACCGTACGGTCCACGGTATGGGGCGCGCGACTTGCAGTACCTCGGTACCGTACCTTCAAGTTCATCATCACTGATGACGGGTACCTGCCCGGTACCGGTAGCTTCCTCCTGCTGACCGGTGTCTAGGGAGGTATTAGTAACTAACTTACCTGGGTTAAGGCCTTGATAGCCTAAGTAGTTGGTCGTCACTGGTGACAGGATAAATCCAGGTTGAAGTTACAGCCGAGCGGGGACCGCGAACCGGTACCCGGAATAGAACCTACAGGCAACCAGCGGCATATAACGGTAGGTACCTACGATACATACCGTGACGGTACCAACGTACCGTGGCCTGGTCCGCCGGTACGCTGGACTCACCTACTAGTACGTACCATGTAGGTACCGCATAATTCTGCGTGACTCGATGCGTGGCCGAGCGGCCGTGCAATTAGGATGCGGCCGCGCGGCACCGCGTGCATTGCGCCACAGTCACGTCACGTGGGTCTCAAAAAACGAAAAAACTCAGAAAACCAAAAAACTAAAAAACGAATAAACGGAAAACGAAAAAACTAGAAAACGAGAAAACAGGGAAGAAAAATCTAATATACCGAAAAACTGGCCAGAAAATACAAATATACTTAAAAACAAGGCAGAATAAACTCAAAAACTAAAATACTGATACATTGTCCACTTCGCGGCGCTATAGAGAGTTCTTCTTTTGCAGCTTTGCAAAACATGTCCTACAATCTGCGTCCTTCGAAACCAGACTCTACTCTGAGAGTGAATGGTAATGGTGAGCAATTGGTCAATTGAAGCACCGGCCCGCACCGTAGTTGGACGTGACGGCTTTTGTCGCGCAGAAGCAAGTTAAACCGGCATGCTTACGGTTTGTAAGCGGTAATGGTACGCGGGGTTCTTGAAGGGAGGGGTCCCGCCAAAAGCTGCAGGCACCTGTTCAAACAGGCTTTGAAGTTGCTTTCGGTGCAGTCCACCTGATTTTCAAATTTCCCCTCAACTACGGTAGTTTCTTGAATGCGGGTCAAGGGCGTCAGGACTTTTGAAGGCAACTCCTCCTATCTGTGTAAGAGAGAGGCTCCCGTTCTTCTGCGTCGGACCATAACCATCCGCCGCTTGCGCTGGTCCCGTGCGCAGCCGCTGTGCGAGTCCTTTTGGTGAAAGGAGAAGTAGATCAGGGGTTCGACGGTTCGTGGGGCGTTCTTCAGAGACGTGCAGCAAGGAAGAAAGCGTTTCTTCTACCGTCCTGGTGAATTTGAAGCCACCGCTCTACTTGCTGTGGAGCAAAGCATGGGAGGCTGCACCGCCGCTCATGTTGAATCCTTTCAGGGGGGCACATTTGTGCCAGAATGTCAGCGTTCGCTCCTGCAGAATCTGCCAGCCAACTCTTTAAGGCCTTTGCCCAAGCTCCCACCTCTGTCCAAGTTAGTTTCTCCTCTGCCGGTTAAAAAAAGAACAACAATTGTACTTGCCTCCGAGAATGGGGCCGCGACGGCGCCGCCGAAGGAGCAGCGGAAACAAGCGCAGAGGACGAAGACCGGCGAGGCTTCTGAAAAAGCGCCCAACTCTGAGTTGGAGCAGCAAACCTGGAGGGTCGGGACGCGGGCAGATTCCGAGCAAGAGAACACTGCATGGGAAGTGCGAGCACCTAGGACGCCGCTTGACCAAGCACAAATGAAAACGTGCTGTCAATGTGGGTTTACGAAGATGATTGACGACTATGAGAGAACGAAGACGAGCTTAGACGAGCGCAGCGCAGGTTGCCGGGCGTGCATGTCGGCTCTCCGCGCACGTCGGTCGGGCCGGCCCCTCTATCACCTTGGGATGTCGGTTGAGGACGCGTGGGAGAACGCGAAGGTGTGCACGATGTGCAAGCACCTGAAGGAGCTGCGCGACTTTGCGCGGTTGGGCGACGGGACCGCCAGACGGTGCCGGGGCTGTCAAGCAAAGTTTTCGAAGCCGCTGCAGGCGCCGGCGGATACGCCGCAGAAGTGCAACGAGTGTGGGGAGGTGAAGCCCGCGAGCGAGTTCCACCGGAAGCAGCACCGGACGAACGGGCTTTCGGGAAACTGCAAGAGTTGCTGCTCGAAGATTGAGAGAGCGCGGTATGAGAATTACCGGGGGTCCTCGGTGGTTTTGTCACGGGCGGAGAAGATGTGCACCATGTGCGGGAGGGAGCTACCGAGGACGGAGTTTTATGCGGCCAAAAACATCGACGGGCTCCAGGCAAATTGCAAGGAGTGCTTTGTCACCAGAAACACCGGACGAAGGAAGAAGAAGGCCCCGAGTGCTGGTGAAGTTGCTGAACAATCTGAGCAATCTGATTGATCAATTGTTAGTGCCAAAAGCGGATTGCTTTGTGTTAGACAAATGTAGAAAGGTCCCCAGAATATTATTTGCTGCAGCAAGGTTAGAGATCATGTTGGTTGGCGGACACAAGGAATTCAAGGACAGGGGCCGCGCCCGGAAACCTTGCCACATTGTGCGACAGATTGATCAAGGATCGACTTAGAGGAACAGTCCCAACATTTCTGGTCATTCATGCAATCATTGACTTCAAGTTGTAAAACAATCAACCGTCTGCAATGCATTTGATTCGATTGAGATATATACCTACTTGAAAAGGACTTCGAGCGGACTCACAGATGCGGATTGATCGGATTCAGTCACGCGCGCATCTGGCTTGTATTGCATGACCACTCGCTGTGTGGCTGGGCGGCCGCGCAATGAGGGGGTCAGATCTCATTGTTTGCTGGCGCATGCAGCATGTATATGAGCGCGCGCGCGCATGATTCGATGAATTTTTGAACTACAACGAGCTGCATCGCCACAGAACACGAGGACTGTACTGACCGTCATGGGTTTGAGCAAAAGGGTAAAGTTATTAAGTCGTCTTTATCTATATTACCCGGCTAGGGTAAAGTCCATGTCTAAGCAGACATTGCTCAAGCCATACCACTACGAAAATTGAGTAGCTGGCGCTGCTTATGGACATGAACGCTGTACTAGGACCATGCCGCCTTCATATCTCAAAGACGAGGTTACTAAGACATGCCACACAGTCTACATGCGGAGCTCCTCAGCTGCTGATTTGCGCGGTTCCCTTACACTCGATCAATACCCAGCCAAAGGGTCAACCACAATGATTAACCATGCCGACCAAGTGACATTTTGCGTGATTACTGATATGGCGGGGTTTGCACCGTCGGAACATAATGTCTCAACGCTCGAACCTCTATCCGGACAGCAAAGGGTCCCGTCGCCAACTTTATTGTGCACAACTCGACACGACTGCCTTGGAAGCCTGCTTGACCTTTATGGACGCATCCTAGACCTGGCTCTCCTACTTTTTGGAGCAGGCTTTTGACCCTCCTCATCGTGAGATTGTGTCTCTCCATATCCCCGCAGGCCCGGATGCCGCCCCATGCTAGGAAGCCCTCTCTCGCCAACGTGGCCGACAGGTTCCGCCACGCCTGCATCGTCCTTACCCACATTAGTCCCTGCCCCTTCTGAATTATCTGCCTCCTTCTCCGGCATCCGTTCTTCCAAGCCCTTCCCCAAATACTCAATTCCATCGCCCGGATCAATCCCTTCATCCTTCCCACCGTTTTTTGGCATATCGCCCGTTCTCGCTTCCTCCCGATCGGTCCGAACTTCAATGGACTCTTCGCTTTCCTTCGTGCTCGCCAGACCGACCTTTGCCCCTTCAGCAACCCCTGCGACTCTCGTTCCCGCACCCAAACCTTCGCCCCCCCCCCCCCTCATCAGGCCGTTCGTCCTATGGCGCTTCGAACGCTCCTTCCCGACCCTCTTCTCCACCCCATTGCTATCGGTCAACTCTTCCCCCCCTCCCTTTCGCCCGTGTCCCGTCCCCCCCTCAAGCTCTCCGTTTACTTCCGACCCGTCACGTTTCCGCCCATTCGAGAGCTCGCTCTTCGAGTCGCCTCTTTGCGACGAGCCCCCCGAACGAACGCCCAACTTCAGCCTCAGTACGAGCCCCCCCGTGCTGCCTTTCTCCACCTTTTTCCACTCTTCCACAGCCGCTCGACCGCCGCCCAGTTGCAACCCACCAAGCGCTTCTCCGTTCGAGTCCGCCGCTCGCTCTCCTACTTCCGCTTTCTCGTTTTCCCTCTCTTTTACCGTCTCCTCGGTATCCGCTTGACTTCCCTTTCCTACGCTCGCTTCGACCGGCCCAGCTCTTCCCCGTTCGACTACCCTGCCTTTCCTTTTCCTGGTCCCAAACCGGGACTTCTTTTCCCCACCTTCCCGCTTCTCCACATCCACCCCGTCATCCATTTGCTCTTTTTCTTTGCCCGCTTCTTCTTCCGCTTCCGCCGTTCCGGCGGCTTCCGCCCCTGAAGGCCCCTCAAGGTGGCTCTCCACCGGCCCCTTTCTCGCATCCTTTTCGCCGCCAAAGCCTTCTCCCCTCTCATCGACCACATTCTTCTCAGCCCCGCTGCCGCTTATCTCGGGCCCTTCCTGCCCGGTTGATTGCCCCGGGGCACCCTTCTCGGCGTCCCCACCCTCGTGCAAAACTCCGTCCCTCGCTCCCGGCTCGTCTCTTGACTCCCCCTCACCCCTCTCCTCCGCCGTACCGCCATGCCCGTCCGCGCTTGGCCCTTCCCCTCGTTCTAGTTCTTCCAGATCGCCCCCGTCTTCCAGAAGACCCTCGCTATTCGCCCGTTCAACAACTTCCAAACCCTCCCCCTCTAACTCTATTTCAGTCTGCGGCCCACTTGCTGCGGCCTCGTCTGCTTTTCCCCCCCCACCGTTGTCCGCACTCGTTTTTGCCGGGGGCCGCCGCCCCTTCTTTCGCCTCTTCTTTCCCCGCCGGTCCCGTTTCCGGGGGGCCGCTTCACTCGTTCCGGCCGCTGGGGCGGATTCCGCTGCCAGAGCGGACGTCTCCGTCCCCGTCTCCTCGCCAGTCGCCTGGTATAGAAGTGAGCAATGGGGAGAGTCAGCGTAGTGCACCCACCAAGAGCAGTTCAAAGGATACTGTAACCACGTGGCTTGTCCAAACTCATGGATGCTTGTGGAGAGAAGCAGATAAGGATTTATTGGAAGATTCATTGTGAGAAAGTATAAGTAGACAGCTGGTCAGAACCGGAGCTGATCCCGTGTTCTCTGTGCTTTGTGCCTCGTTTCCCCGACTTAAGATTGGTGACGAAACTTGTTGCCGCGTATCAACGTCAGAATCCAGTCGTAAGACAGTCGACTTACCTCAGCATCTCCCTGTTCGTCCCGCCTTCGTTTCTTGCTGTGATGCCTCTCCTTTTCCGAAGCGTCATTATCCACTTCTCCGGCTACAGTATCGTGCTTTCGCTTGCTGCCTTTCTGCTTCTTCTGTGCGCAAGGCGAGAAAGACAATCAGGACAATTGCACAATACACACCACTATCTTATCTCCTTTAGCGCCCAGCCGTGCTCACGCAAAGCACGGCATGATAGGCAGGATACAACGAACTTTAACACTTCAGTATTGTTCCTTAGCAGCGTCGATGATCACGTGACCCTTCTAGAGTCAAGGACGGAGCTTGCGGATCTAGAGCGCTTGTATCGCAAAGCAGTAGCTTCGACGAACGTCGTACAAAAGTCTAGCTCATCAAACGTTTAAGTGATTCGAACCTAGCCGCCCTCGATTGGGACCGTGCGGTGCTCTGTCACTTAATGTTGCAACTTCGCAAAGGACGCTTTTATCATAGGCGGTTTTTGACAGAGGGCTTTGACTAAGATTGATTACAAAGAGCGAAGACAGTCAGCGAGAAACTCACAGGCTCAGCCGTGCCGTCGCTGCCCTTGCTCCGCTTGGCCGCCTTCTTCTGCGCCTTCTTCTCGAGCGCCGCTTCCTTCTCGGCTTTTATCCTTGCCTCCTCCTGAAAGACAAGCAAACACAATTAGCTATTGGAGTCACTCTATGAGCAGGCAGCATTCTCCAAGTAAATTCCCTCGAACCTGAGAAGGGGAGCAGCGCGCTAACATGGGCTATCAAGCAAGCCTCTGCAACGCGGCGCAACTCCGGACGCGTTTGCGGACTGTGTTGCTCGGAATCGAAGCTCGTGAGATTGTCTATCCACAAAACCAGGCATGACGTCAGCCTGGACACGTGGCCCCACCTCGAGCTGCCTCTCCCGCTCCTCCCGCTTCGCCTTCCGCCGCTCCTTGGCCTCGCGCCGCTCCTGCGCCACCTTGGTGACGTCACCCCCCTCGTCCACGATCTGCAGCCACTGCTCGTCGCTCAGGGGGTCCGCATAGCTGACGCGGCTCCTCTTGCGCTTTCCCCCCGCTGCGGAATTTTCTGCGGCGGAGGTCGTGACGTCGGCGGACTCCTCCTCGCGGATGTGCGCCCAGTCGGGGACCTCGTGCTCCTCCAAGAGGCGGCTTGAGAACCTGAAAAATAGAAGAGGTTGAGGTTCACTAGGGAAACGGTTGAGTCATTGCTGGGGCGCCTGGACGTTTTTAGGGTTTTGAAATTTCAAAAGGGCTGTCGAAAGGTTGTCATTCACGGACTGACCCCGTGCGGTTTGAGTACCTGCAGAACGACGGATCGGGGTTTACAAGGGTTTGAAGTGATGGGTTTCACGGAGAGTTGAAGAAGGGCCTCAAGGATCTGCCGCACTGCTTCCTTGTCAGCCGCAACCAATTCACGAGAGGGCAGATGGAGTCTCAGGCGGGTCTCAATTGGACGGGAGCTCAGATGAAACACTCACGTTCGGCCTCAAAAGAGCACCTCTTGAATTTTAAGAGGCCACAGTTAATTCAAGGCTGAAATGTCCCAGGCAACTGGAAAGAACCTTGAAGGCTTTCTGCCCAAAGGCTTTCACAATGATTCAAGTGTTCAAATCTTCGCCCAGATTTGAAGAACTCAAACCGCAAGTTGCCGTATCCAAGCAACCGGATTGCCAAGCCCGTTCTCCATCAAACCATTCTCAGCACTCTTCAACGACACTTGTCTCGTCAAGCGCGCCCAATCGTCCTCCTCCGCCAGATCCCTTCTTCTTCCCTAGGCAAACCGCCAAAGTAAGAAGCTCTGTTCCTCACTTGGTCTCGCGGCGCCACTGCGCGTCAATCTGCTCGAACATCTGGAATTCGTCCTCGGTGCGCGCGAGCAGCCGGTTGATCTCGCGCTCGCTCGGCACGTCCGTGCCCAACCGCTGCGTGCCGCGCCGCATGATCTCCTCCAGCAGCTCGCGCCGCTCCTGCGAGCACAAAAAGGATCGACGTTTCAGATCCGCCGCAGTTGAAGAGCCCTCAGTGCGTACGACGCGTTCAGACCTTGAAGCTTGGTGACGGACAGGCCTCGGAGATCGGGCAGACCATATGCGAATAAATCCTAGGGGGGCTCGAAGGCCTTCCCACTTATCCAAAGTCAACAAAGCGCTTGATGGCCATCTTAAGAAAAGCGGCCAAACACATGCTTACGAAAGAAGCGAACAAGAGGTAAACATACCCGCTGCAGATGGCAACGAGTTGCGGCTGCTGGATAAAACGACAGTACAATATGAGAAAAAACAAGGATCGAAAAGAGGAAGGCGAGAAACTACGGATGAGAAGCAAGTAAGAGAATTACCGCCGCTGTCGAGCTCTGGTTGAACATCCCCGCCTGGATGACCTTTGCATCGATGCCCATCTTGCTGCGTGCGCGCTCCAGGATCTCTTCCTCGATGGATCCCACGCTGACCAGCACAAAGACGCGCACCTCCTTCTTCTGGCCAATCCTGCAGATGACGAGACCGTGGCGTCAGTTTCAGGAAGGGATTTGAGTGATGTACGCTATAAGGGTTCTTCTTCGGTGGATCCTTCGCTGAACAGCACAAATATGCGCACCTCCTGCTGACCAGTGAAGAAAGAAGGGCAGCTTAGGTGATGGTCGAGCGCTCCACTTGCCCGTTTTCTTATACCCGAGTTCCTGGAAGACCCATTCCTAGATGCGATTGTAAACTGCTCGGTCGCATGTTGAGATGCTAATCATTGTTGAAAGGCAACAGATTCCTGTCTGGCTTTGACCGAAGATGGAGCTTTTCCGCACCTCAGCCTCGCATACAATTGAACACCAAGCCTCATCAATCTCCCTAAATCTTGGCAACAAGAAGCGCGCAACCCTTTGTATAAAGGCACCCTCAGACTCGAACCTCTCTTCAAGCCAAAGGACAAACCGTAGTCCCCTACCTGTGAGCCCGGTCTTCCGCCTGCTGGTCCATCGCGGGGTTCCAGTCGCTGTCAAACATGATGACCGTATCCGCGGTTTGCAAATTCAGCCCGAGCCCACCCGCGCGCGTGCTCAGCAGGAAAATGAAGTACGGAGAGTCGGGCGCATTGTACAGCTCCAGCAGCTCGCGGCGCTCGTCGGTCTTGGTGTTGCCGTCCAGGCGCAGGTACGCGTAGCCGCGCCACTCGAGGTAGTCCTCCAAAATGTCCATCAGCTTCGTCATCTGCACGACGGTCGGGTATCCGCGCTTAGCCCGATTTTTCAATCTGGAAATGTCAACATCTTACACTCGAAAGCTGATGTCAAACTGGTTAAATCCTGGCAACAGTCTTCATTTGCTGTTAGAGGGTTTGGGTGATGACAGAGTCAGAAAATACTTGACGGCCACAGTTTGCCACTACCACTCCAAGTGATTAAAGACTGGATGAGAGCGGTGGCACAAAGTTGCACAAGAGGATACTTACCAACCTTCTGGGGCAATCGTCGGATAATTTTTGAATGTAGACGATTGAATACGCGTATCTAACAAGCGCAAAGCCCCGACCAAGATGCCAAGCGACAGGAACGACGCCGTCTTCCAATCGGAGCTGGGTAGGATAAAAGCTAGGCATAGCGAACTTACAGAATCTAGGGTTCTTAAGCCCAGGATTCGAGTTTACTTCACCAGCACAAACTGTTAAGTCAGGTGGTAAAGCAAGCTTAGAGTGCGTCACAGAGTGCGTCACGTATCCCCCGCTCGAAACGTTCTTGCCTCAATTCTCTTTGTAAGCACGAGCCCCACCTGCGAGAAGAGCAGGATGCGGTGCCCCGTCTGCTTCATCTTGGGCAGGATGCGGTCGAGCAGCTCGAACTTGCCGGATGCGCGGACGCGCTGGGACGGGTCGTCCGGGAGCGCCTCCATGGTGTCCAAAAACAGGTACGGGTGGTTGCAGCACTTGCGCAGCTGCATCGCCGTGTTCATCAAACTGCGGCTCTTGCCTGAGGGAGACAGGACGGGGAGGGGTGGCTAAGTACTTACAGTCAAGGGTCACTTACTTACCCGACGTTTGGGACTTCGTCAGTTACTTGACGGCTGAGGAGTTGAATGAGCAGCATCGCCGTGTTCATCAAGTTACGGCTCTAGTTCAAGAGAGAGACGAAACGGAAAAGAAGAAGGAGTCGTCACTCTCAGCTGACAGCCGGTCTTCAAACATTGATTGAAAGGCGACTTCCAAAGAGAAAAGAGGAGAGAGAATAAGAGCAACAACAAGGAGGAGGAGCTCATACAAGGGACAAAGAAGAGCAGGCCGGAAAGCACCAGTGACTTGCCCCCGCTTGAGGTTCCAAGGATCGTTTTCATTAGCTGCGTTGCAGCATGGTAAGTGGGGCGGCGGCTGAAATAGGCCAATGATGGCAGGTAAGAAGCCACAGGATTTAAATCAACGGTCACAACGCACCAGTGGCTTGGCCCCCCTCGACGGCGACGCTGGACGATTCGAGGATCTGCTTGTAGTAGCTGCGCTGCCATGCGGAGAGGTCGCTCTTGAGCACGACCTGCACCTTGCTCGGCAGGTGCTTCTCCACCTCGGCCTTCTTGCGCCGCAGCAGAAACGGCCGGATCACCTGCGAGTTAATGGACGAACACCATGAAGTTGAGGTCAAAAGAAGGGGCGATGCATAACAGCACAGCGGCTTGCTTTTGTGCTAATCCCTTGAGTGCGGCAACTCAACAGATACACGAAACAAAGTCTGCTTAATCGGTCAGCGGTCGGCTCTTCGGAACTGAATCGCAAGAAGACGAAGCGTCTGTGGAGGAGTCCGGTGCTAGACGTGCGTCTCAAGAGGCACCTTTTTCACATGTCCGACACTTCTCACCGGCTTCACAAATGAATGCAGATTTTTGGAATCGGACAGATACCGCTCGAAAGTTGCTTTGAAGGGAATTACCTGTTGCAGCCGTCTGATGACCAGAATCTCTTCTTCTTCGTTGAGCGCGAGGTCGCCCTTCTCGGCGAACGGCGCGTTGAACCAGTCCTCGAAGTTCTGCACGTTGTTGAAGATGGTCGGCAGCACGAAGTTGAGCAGGCTCCACAGCTCCTGCAGGTTGTTCTGGATGGGGGTGCCTGCAGAGGAAGACACGATAGCGCCAACGTTAGGGCGGAGCCTTTGGTAAGGGTGTCGAGGGGTCGCGTTTGACTGTAGGCACAGGAGAGCGTCCCTGAAACTTACGGCTTCTAGAGGAATTGCGACGGGGAAGTATATCTCCCCGTTCGATTCTTCAAGGGCATCATCAGGCTGCACGTTGTGCAAAGATTCCGGCATGTTTGCTGACATCATCAAGCCCACAGAACGAATGCGAGTTCTCTTCGCACTAAACGCACAAAAAGCTAAGTGTCGTCAAAGCTGCGCAGCAATGCAATCATAATTCTCGTATCTTGACGAAACGAAGAGAGTGCCTCACAACTGCTATTTCCGCTTAAGACAAAGCACAACAGGAATCATTGCTCTGGCATCAGCAGCGCTTAATGCTCTACCGGTTAGCAGAATTCTGCGCTTGATGTGATGGTGGTTGACGATGGAGGTGGCCATCACAGACTCATGGTCTTCATCCGCCTCCGACATAGACATAGTTGCAAATTCATCAACCTTCCTAAATCAACAGCAGACTACGACCGACCTGTGAGCAGGATCCTGCGCTTGATGTGGTAGTGGTTGACGATGGTGGTGGCGAGCACGGACTCGTGGTTCTTGAGGCGGTGGCCCTCGTCCACGATGAAGTAGTGCCACCGGATCTTGCGCAGGAACGCCTTGTCGCGCATCACCAGGTCGTAGTGCGTCAGCAACACGTTGAACTGGTGGCCCGCCACCTGGAAAAGGCAGGGAATAGATGTTCAGTTTTTGACGCGAACGACTTTCGGGAGATCCATGTCCACATTGCGGAGAAAGATAAATCTCGATTCAAATGAATAAAAGCTGCGTGAATAATAAGGTTATTCTACCAAGCCAAGACAAACTAAAAATCCTGACACAGAGATTTCCTCACTCGCACCCGGACCCATTCTAACCATCGAGCTAAACCGACCCCTGCCCCCCGGCTTGACCTTGTTATTTATAAGATCGAGAATCATCGGAGCCAGCCTTGTTGACGACTCGTCAGACACCTGGATTATTATGGCCGACCACGAGGGAATTGGAGTCTGGATCCTTTGCATGATACGAGGGAAATCTTCCCAACTACCGATCGACATGCACGGGAACCGTTTACAAGCGTCACCGAGTCACACCGACACGTTGCGCTTCTGGCCCACCAGAATATGTGTCGAAACCTCGAAGTTACATGAGTCGTATCCTAGCATAAAGAATTGCTTTCCTGGTCAGGGCTTGAAAAGTTGTTGTAAGTGATAGACGGGCCCTGCTCACCAGCGGATCCTGCTGTATCGCTCTTCGTGTATCCAGGGTGCCGTCGTAGAGAACGGCAGAGAGGGTCGGCGCCCACGTCTTGAACTCGTGCGCCCAGTTGGGCAGGACGGCCTTCGGAGCCACGATCAGGTGGGGCCCCTGTACGCCCTTATTCTCGAATAGGTACGCGATTAGAGAGATAGTCTGCAAAAAAAGGAAGGGGCTTGCTCTGTTGGTGGTGAGTCTAAACAACATATTCCAAACCTCTGCTTTTCCAGTGAATGTTACGGAAACCTACCTCTGTGCCAGGCATTCACCAACCGTCATGATGGCATGGACAGATCGAAGGACGGTCTACAGGCAAAGGACCCTCGACTGAACACTGGTCGCTTTCTGAGAAATATCCTGAACCTTATGCGTTCTCCATACTCGAACGGTCCGGCGCCCAAAACCGTCACGAGATCCGTCACCAGACTCGTTCACTCACCTGGATCGTCTTCCCGAGCCCCATCTCGTCCGCCAGGATCCCGTTAAGGTTATTGTTGAACAGACTGAGCATCCACTGAAGCCCCTCCAACTGGTAGCTCCGCAGCTGACCCCCCACTAGGAGCCGTGGCTGCACCAGCACCTTCTCCTCGATCGCATGCACGCTCTGATTGTACTTCTTTTGGCCCGCCATCAGATCGCGTTTCGGCTCCGGGGGTTGCGCCTCGGGGGCGGCGGCGGGAGCGGCGGAGGCGTCTTTGGCTCTGGGAGAGGCGACGCCCTGCCAACAGAGAGTTCAAATGGGATAAGAACAGTGTGAAGAGGAGTGACAAGTTGAGCAATGCTTTATTCAGAGATTTAAGCCAGCGGACGCTTCCACAGCGGCTCTGGCGGTGGAACATGCCCGGAAGCATCAACATCTAAAGCCTAGACGTGGATATTTTTGCTTTTGCGGGGCTACTCACACAGCACGGATACGGGTATGATTTAGTGGGCAGGCAACCGCGATCCCAACAAAGAATTCATATGACACCGAAGACCAACCCGGTCGGCTCCCGTCCGCAGTCCTAGCGACTTTAATGATTCTTCTAGGCCATTGCATCATTAACCAAGGTCGGCAAGTCCGACTCCTCCTGGAGCTCCACCATCTCACTTCGGAAAACGCAGACCTTCTTCGCATCTCTCTACTTCATGATCAAGGTTTCATGCTCAAGGATCGGAGCGCCTCAAATGACTGAAGCTAACCCACCTCCTGCTCCTAGTCCTGGTGTCGTTCGGGGTTTCTCTTGCGTAGCTGCTCTATGACGGAACCGATAGCCGCGTCCCCTCAATATCTGCATCGTCACCATTGAACACCCGAGAAGCGCCATCCGCCAAGCCTCAGATTCAAGGCCGAAAACCTCACCTCCTGCCCCTGTTCACGGTGTCGCTCGGGGTTCTTCTTGCGGATGCGCTCCTCGACGGGATCGAAGTCGTCCGCCTCCTTTTGCAGCTGAACCATCTGACCCAGCCGCTCCAGGAGTTCATCCGTCGCGCCCAGAAGCGTTTTCAGCCGCTCGTTTTTGCTCTCGGCAACTAGGGCGAGGTACGCTTCCTGGTCGTCGTTCTTGAGGGCCTGCACGCGCAGCCGCTCCGCACGGTTCGCCCTGCACGGGGGGGTGACAAGGACGATGTTTTTCAGTATCGGATGCCAACGGGACAGCACAGAGAGTCACATTGTAATGAGACAACAACAACCTTTGCATCAATGCATCCTAGTGCCGTTCGCTCATTGGGCGACTCAGAACTTGGTACGCTGCCTCAGCGCAGGAAGCTTGAGAACCAGGGGTTCAAGCGGGTGGTAATCTTATCTGCAGACACAAAGTAAAAATCAGGCCGTATGCCATCCGCTGACCCCTATCCCAACCCAAATGACTGCAACAGCAACTATCATTCACGTGAAACTTTGTCATTGGGCTAGCACCCCACCTCTTGGCTTCCTTGGAGAGCCAGTTGAGCACCCGTCGTTCCGCTGCTTGATGTTACATATGAGGTCGCTAACCTTCCTTTCGAAACAAGACTAAATCTCATTGCAGCGACCCTCAACCATGTCAGACATCCCCTTATCAAGCTGCCACCTCACCTCTTGGCTTCCTTGGAGTGCCAGTTGAGCACCCCGTCGTTCCGCTGCTTGAGCCGCTTCGCCTCGGCGGCCTGGAGGGCGGTCCACTCGTGGTAAGACGCCAGGAGCTCCTGCAGGAAGCGCCGCCGCACCAGGAGCGCGTTCTTGCGCTTGTTCTCCTCGTTGCGCGCTTCGCGGTCGGCCTCCCTGTTGCAAGAAAGAGGACTTACGTTCGTTAGCCCATTTATTCGACTGGAATCTCTTTTGGCGGCGCGTTATTCCGCTTGTTCTCCTCGTTGCGCGCTCGCGGTCGGCCTCCTGTTGCGAGAAGAGGTGTTGCGTTCGTTAGCCTCCTTATCTAAGTGGAGTCTCTTTTTGCGGCGCGTTCTTCCGCATGTTCTCCTCGTTGCGCGCTTCGCGGTCGGCCTCCCTGTTGCGAGAAGAGGAGTTGCATTCGTCAGCCTCCTTAACTAGCTGGAGTCTTTTTCTGCAGTAAGGTTGTGAGTGATGAAAACGAAAAGGCCAACACCAACTAGCCTTAGTTTGTGGGATACAGATGTGCAAAGGCGAGCTTTTCCAATGAGGGAAGGCGATCAATTGCCGTGAATCGATCTCAAGGCACATGGCACTCGCTATAGGAAAGTCTATTCCAGGCAGCGCTCAAGAATGGAGAACACCAACCGCGAGTGACGTCCAGTATCACAGCCGTGACATCAGGAGTTTTCTGAACCATTGAAGTGTTCCAACCTCTGGACCGAAAGGATAAGAAAGGCAGAGAAAGAAAGAGACACGACAAGGGAGGATCAATCTTCTGTTCAATGAAGCAAACATGACCACCCGATATGTACTTTGTTGATTGACTTGATTGACTTGATTGAGTAAACCGGCCAAAGCAAGTCTCTCTCTGAGGGTTCTTCCAAACCCGTCAGGCGATTCAGTGCTGTGGACCCTGTTCATGCTTTGGTGAGCAGAAGTCCCCCACCTCTTCCTCCGTGCCCGCTCGTCCGCCTCCAGTGCCGCCGCAGTGACCCCAACCATGCTTGACAGGGCGGCGCAGCCGTACTTTACTCTTTCGGGGTCTGCCCGCAAGATCGACCGTAAGACGTCCTCCCGCTTCAGGCGCATCATGCTCCAGTCGAGAAGCTGGTCTGGCTGGCATGACGTCAGCAGCTTCTGTTCGAGCGCAACTTCGGCCCGCACCTTGCGCTGCAGTTCGACCAGCTGCAGAGGAATGATTGGAGTCGGTTTAGCAGCAGACTTGGTGGTTTCGAGGCCCTGGCAGGATTTGGCAGGAAGCGAAGCCTCTTAGTTGCAGCTAAGACCAGGATCAGGTGAGCCTGTTTCAGAAGGCTGCACATTGACCAGTGGTTTCAAGCAGTGAATCAACAGCAGATACGGTTGACCTGTCGAAAAAAAACCCCCAAGATGCATGGAAAGGCATCTTGTCTTGCAGATCGATGTTTTATACTGGAAATGAGATGCAGATGACTGCACACAATTGGTCTTTGACAAGTCAGCATGGAAATTGAGATCTGAGGAGCTTGTTAATCCATCTTATGTCCAGTGTTGTGGCAGCAAGGGTCTTACTAAGCGCACAACTGGGGTGCTTGACTAAAAAGCCTGCTGGTACCCAATCAAGCACCCGTACATCTACCACACTCTGCAGACCCTCTGTTGCTTGAAAGTAGAGAGAAAATCCTATCACGTTGCACAAGTACTCAGTCCTCACCCCGCTGCTAAGGGTCAGTGTTGCAGAATTGTACTCAAGGATGACCTCCAAGTTACTCTAGGCCCTAAAAATATCTGAGGGAGTTATGGATGCAGAAGACGAAAGTCAATTGCAGGAACACGCACCTTCAGTGCTTGAACCTCGAGGCCCGACTTCGCCCTGACCACATCACTCTCAGCGAGCGGCAGGTGCTCCAGCGTCTCTTTCCTCCATTGCAACCGCTGCTTCAGCCTTTCCTCCTTAGCCTGCCTGAGACCACTTGCAGGTAGCGAGGCTGGCTGGGCTTCCTGCACCGCTTGCAGAAGGGGGGACTTCGCTATTGCTGCAGCTTTCACCCCTAGCCCCGAGCTCCCTTCGGTGACCCTTGCACTGCTGCTCGGCGCCTCAGCCAGAAGAGCTCTTTCTACGGCCCTGGGAAGGACTGCATCTCTACTAAGCAGTGCAAGGGCAGCCTTCTGCACCGCTAGCCTCCTCACTTGCTGCGAACTGAGCGATGCTTTCAATGGAGCCCTCTGTTGTTGTCTGCTCCCCGTCTGGCACTCTGTTTCTGACCCTAGCTTGCCCTTAGGTGCCCTTGCTAGCCCTTGAGAGAGTTTTAGCAGAGCTTGGTAGCGGCTGTCCTCCTTGCTGATGCCCGCTGCTAGCGCACGCTCAAGGGCCTGCTTCAGAGCCTCCACATCACGAGCCTGGAACTCCTCTCTCAGGACCCGGAAGGGGACTGGTGCGGACTCCCCCGGTGGGTCCGCTTCATTCTTGCCCTCCATTTTCACAGTAGAATGTCGAAGCCCGCCCAATCTGCACAAACAGATTGGCAGATCAGTGGCATGCAACTCATCAACGATGGTCGTCCACTGCAAGTGATCATCACTTTCTTCTCACCTATGCTGCCCTTGAAGTGACTCGCGACCTCTCGATTCAGTTCCACAAACCAAGAATGCATAGCAGAGCAGTAAACAAGCACTGAAAGATGGTTCGTAATCAACTCTACAGCCTTGCCAGAAATTTTGGGAAGATGTTCACAACATGTAAGTTAGAGAAAACGGCTTTGGTTCTATGCAGTTGCTATTTGACAGCCAAACACATTGATAGAAGTAAGCAAACTGTGCCATAGCTTTCTGACTTGACTGGTCAACACAATTTACAACCCTCCTAACAAGCAAGCAGTGAAATTAAGTTCAGTAAGCTTGTAGGCATTATGCAGAGCCGAAATGAAGTCCACCTGCACTGACCAGGGGCAATTTCGAAGGTACCTGGCTAGCTGTTTGGAGGGCAGGGGTGTGCTGTGCAGACCATCGATCTGGAACACGTGACAATACTTGGGGACAAGTTACCAGCTCGATGAAGAGAGCGAGCTTCGAACTCGCTACTGCGTCCTGAAGAGGATTCTTCTCAGAACTCGGAATCGCGATTTGAAACTCGGAACTCTTTCTACCTGTACATTCCCTGCCTAGCTTGATCCACAGCTACTCTCAGAGCTCTGAAATATTCTGCAAGGTCCACAAAGAGGCAAGAGAAGAAGGTAGTCCCGTGCAGGGCTTCCTAGGAGCAAGCATAGTGCGCTTTACCAAGTCCCTCAGCCCCAAATAAGCGCCTCGCGCCAAGACAAACGCTGCCTATCTCGATCTGCTGGCAATTTGACAGCACTCATGAATGCATGCTGCCTCCTTGTCAAGCAGTCCAGCCCGAGATTGTTTGGTTAACCACTGGCTAAGTCGCGAGCTCGTCGAAACTCAGCCCCACAATTCAGCAATTTAAGGGCCCAAACTCTTTCGACGGCAGTCAGTATCAGCCAATTTTGGTTTAGGTTGCCAACCTCAATGATGACGTGAAACAAATGCACGCGCGTGCGCCCCAAGTCCCCCAGGCTTTGCCGCGCTGACCGCGCGCCGGCCGGCGGTTGCGGACGCCGCTGGGACGGCAGTGTTGCCTTTTTACAAACTGTGCTCAACGGTCGAAGGATGAGCTGTTCCGCATCGAACAAAGGTAGGGCAACTACGCCAGTCGTAGGCTTCGACAGCTGGACTTCAGCAGGATTTAGTATCAGTCAAGTAAAATCATCGCATTCCAATATAAGCATTCCCCGGGCGCACTGGCTTTGCGGCCCAACCGCCGTCGCGGCCGCATGGCCAGCTGGCGTGAAAGCAACTTAGTTTACGAGCCCGCCCAAAATCCTCTTCGGGTCAAGATCAGTCCGTCTTTGCGGGCTTATACGTCAGCATGATGTAACTCGGGATTCGGTACACATGATGTCAAAGACGCCACTGCACGACACATTGACCAGCCTGCCTGGCCGCGTCCTGCAGCAGGCGCCGACGTAAACTGAGTAACAGGTTACAGGAGTCTCGACGAGTCGGCTGTACGGTACATTCTGCCATCCAATGATGGCTCCAGCACCCTGCATTGGGCCGCATGACAATAGGGAGCACCCAGAATTTCCTGGTATGACGTGGTTTGCTGAGTACGAAAGAGCTGCGCGCAGCTGGGAGCCCCGCCCGCTATTTGAGGCAGACCTTCCAGTGCGAAAGATGTTTGGTAAATTGGTGTCGCTTACACGGAGCTGCCTCCCAGCTGCCTAGTCTGGATCAACAGATTGCATACCTATTCCGCTTGCAAGTATTACACTACTACTAACCGTGACGGTTTCTTCTAGGACGCATCTATGACAAATCGGTTCGTACAGTGTGGCTCAGTTGGTCACGATCACAGGCAGCCGAACGACCAGTTATGACCACTCGGGTACTGTTACAGCCATATTGGCAGAGCGGGCCGGAAGTCAGGTGGATCCCGGCTGATCAACTACAGGAAGGCGCCCGCGGGGACTAGAATGACGTCTGCAACCTTGCAGAAAGCGTCCGCTGGCTATACAAATGGCGAATCACTAAACCTCCACGCCCGGCATGCCAGCGGCCGGCAGAGGTCACCTACCGTGCTCATCATAACCCTCGAGGATCATGACGTGGCAGAGAAGCGCGCCCGGATCTTGAACTTCTCCGGATCACTCACTTCTGTCCTCTATATATGCACACGGTGTATAGACTTGGGGACCGCTCAGAATTACTTCACATTCCTGTCAGCTTATATCCGTCGGCTGCTCTGCTGCCAGTTCATTCTGTCGTCGGATCAGGAGGACGCCTTGCAGGTAGAGTGCACAAGTGCCGAGTCCATCATTATACAGTATACATTCGAAGTTCCAGGAGATCCGAGCGCTAAAACCGCAATGCTTTTTCCAATGGCACAAGATAAGACGGCAGATCGGAAGGGCAGTGCAGTTGAATTCTTGACACGTTGGAAGTCGTTGCTGACAGCGGTGCATGGCAACATCAGACATGTTTAAATACACGATAGAATGGAACTATGTAAGTACGCAGTATAGTACCAATGCAAAACGAAAGTCGACGTCACGTCATGCGTCTCTAGCCGCCACAACATGCAGCTTTGAGCGGTACTCTGCTTCAGCTAGGATGCAGCAGTCTGCTTGCATACAACCAAATCTGGCAGCAATCGTGAAAACATGGATACACATTGAAGTAATAGAGAAAGCTAAGAGCCCCAGAATGAGGACGTCTGGAGAGAATATTTCGAACATTGCCGACGGCTCAACTTTTATGGGCCACGTGTCAGCTGCTCCAAGGTCCAAGTTACACGCAGTGCTCTTAAGGTCAGTTAATGCATGATTGAAGGCAAAAGGATTCCAAGCATGAGTCTCCTTCTGATCCTCCGGCCAGGCACTCACAGTGCGCTTGCCAAAGCTGTGAAGCTGTCATGCGCTGCTCGGAGCAATGTCAAGTTGCCGTAATGTTTCTAATGCACAACTGACTTGCATAATAAGCACTGTTGCGTTGAAGGCCGAAGTGGGTTCAGTAGAGTTACATCTCAAATGAAGGCCCAGATACTCTCCGGGCAAGTCCACTGGCCTTCAGTGGAATTCCTTCCGCCGACGTGCCCCTGGTCCAAGCGGCTCCCGCATCAAAACTTCTCGCCCCCGAAAGAATGAGCACGTGATCAGAAGTTGCTCCTTGTTAAGGGCTTCTTCAATTATCGGTCCAAGTGTACAACTTGCAGGTATGAGTCACCACAGAGAACGACTGGCAAGAATGCGGATTGCATTTGGATGCGTGTGAACACCAAACTGAGCTTGCTGCGGGGCGGGCATGGGCGCACATTCAAGTCGCACATGAGATGTACATGCTTATTCACATCTTCTGTCGAACACAATTTGACCCCGCCCGTGATCCATGTCAGTGAGTGTTTTCGGTGCCAATAAATGTTGGCATCCCGTTTTCGCTCTTATTCTTTCCCCCCTAGAGCCACGTCGTGCGGTTTTCCACAGCACAGCCTTCAGTCGGAAACCTCTGTCAGCGCGGGTCAGATCGTTTAAGCCGTTAGCGCAGCGAATTCCCTCATCATTAGCGGGTGCAGATCTGCAAGACGCACTGCCAGCCGAGGAGTCTGTTCTAGCTCCAGAGGGTGGCGGGTTTCACTCCACTCAGAATTTGATCTACATTTCCTGTGACTCTGGATTCGAGCAGGTCTCGGGGGCGCTAATACATCGCGTTTCGCTCTGAACGCAAGCCTTCTCAGAGATCAGAAAAGCCCTTTTTTTGAATCGGTTCCTCCGCACTTCCTATCGGGGGGGCGCTCGCTATGACGCTTTACCGATCGCTCAACGACCTTACTCACCGCAATAGCCGCTGTGAAATGCACTTCCGTCCAAGTTGCACATTCCAAATCAGGGTTCTTGCACTAGGCTTGTCACAAATAGTTGGATCCTGTCTTGTATGTCCGCGCCTGCTCAGAATTACAAAGTTGGAAGCGAACGAAGGGCAGCGCAAAGTGTTCCTTGAGTTCCGCTGCAAGGGGTGTCTCACTGGCAGCTTTTACACGAGAGCTGGATCAAGAAAAGGGCGGTGCTGCGACATTCTGAGCGCTTCCATTTTGGGATCAGTTCGAAGATCTCGAAACTCGTTTCAAACCTAGACGCCGCACTGAAGCTTGCTACTGGCTAGACTCGGGCACATACATCTTGAGAAGGTATGCGCCGAATATGACTAAATGTCGCTCCAGCCAGGCCGGGCGGACCAAGCCGATGCATCGGATCTAACATAACGATTGTATGCCAGGCCATCCGAAGGAGCCGTTTTGCACGGACTTGCACATACCGTATACGACCCCACTCTCGTTCTGAGTTTATAGTTTGTCGAATGCAATCCGCTCCAATTAAGTGTGCCAGTATACGTGCGGTGCACCGATCGCCCAACGGCCGGACGCGAGACTCCATGTCATTGCACAGATAGTACACTCAACGACTGATTGAATATCATGACACATGCCTGGGCCCGCGCGGCGGCAACAATGTATGGAATATGCGTGCAACGTGGTGCAGATGATTGATTGAAGACCAGACATCAAAGTCAACTTTCTAAGAAGTCAGGCTCCCATATCGCATTGAAAGCCGAACTCGGTGCACCCGTGAGACCGCGGTTGAACATGAACGGGCCTGCATGATCAGACATGCTAGATTCTCTCCTGAGGGAGAACTTTAAATCGTACTTCAAGTCAGTTGATTCATGCTTACTAAATGACGTGCCAACCTTGAACACAGCTAGCCACGGCTTAACTTTATGGTCAATGCAAAGCGTTCGGTCCACGACTCATACCAGATGAAGCGTCGCAAGATAAGCAACAATTAACCGTGGATACGTCGTGATTATCAAGAAAGGTTAATTATGTGCTATGGCTATATTGACGGGTCTAGGTAGGCTGTATATAAAGCTTATCTACACTAACAAACGCTCTCAGTCACTTAACAACTCGCAACAAATTGGCCCATTTCGATGGCCAAAACGTGGGCAGCCTAGAACCTATCGAAACCCGCTACCTCAGTATGGCTGTCTTCAAAGCGCCCAACACTGTTCTCACGATTGGGTTCCGGTCGTCCAGCACCAGGCGGAAGAGCGGAATTTTGTCGAGTACCATCCCGAAGATGTCCGGCCCTACCCGCCCTCGTACGAACTTGATCAGCAGGTACGCTATGGCCATCGTTTGTACCGGGTCAACTCCGAGTTTCTTGATGATGTTCACCGCCAGCTTTCATGAAACGAAAGGCAACAAAGTGAGAAACTTCTCAGATTACCAATACAATAAGGAAGTGTGCAAAGAGAAGAAGTGACGGTGAACCTCACAAGATGGAAAAGAATTTGATTGACTAGGTCTTACGCGTCTGCTGGTCAAGGAGCCCTGTTGAACGACAATGAATTGTCGTGGTACTTTACAAAGGCAACCGCACACAGCTGTACGTGACGCAGTCCGTTATAAGGGAGTGAACATTGATTGATTAACCGACCTGGAAGATCCTGTAACAGGGTATCATCTCGACGCCTATCTCCACACCAGAGTGTCGGACGACTTCACACAACATCTCCGTCTCATCAAAGTGGTGACACAAAACGTAGGTTCTGAGCTGGTCAACCTTGAAGAATCTCTAATTAAACGTTGCATTGATTAACCTCGACAACAACTACCGGCTTGATGTCCAGTGTCGATGACAGAGGCGATCTGAGTACTTTCCATCGGTTTCACCGTCAAGTAGCCTTGCGAATGACAGCGGCTGGAAGGTACCCAGTCGAAGGTAACAGCGACTGAAGTCCGACAAGATATCATTGCCTCACAAAATCCGTCACCCTCTAGAGCTTACATCGAAGGAGACAAAACCTCGTAGAAGAAAAACTTGTCCAGAGACAGAACCAATCACCGAGTCCGCACCTTAAGTTCGCCAATCCCAAGGAAGCTCTTCAGCAGCAAGTGCCCGACCGTTGATGCCACGCCTCCCCGAAGCCACCCCCCCGACTTCTTCTCCGACCGCCGCCGCTCCTCTTCTTCGTATCTGTCGTCTCTCCTATCCTCTTCGTACCTCGTATCATACTTCGGCCGCCGCTCCTCCTCGTACCCCCCTCCGTTACGCCTGTCGTTCCCATCCCCCCCAACAACGTCCCCCAAAATGTCTCCCAACTTTCCACCGAGGCCCCCCCCTGAGGACCGAGACCGCTTGTCGCCGCCCCCCCCGAAGATGTCACCCAAAATGTCCCCCCCGGACTTCTTCTTCGGCTCCTCTCTTCCACCCAAGATATCACCGAGCACGTCGCCCAGACCCCCTCCGGACTGCCGCGATGAACCGTGGGTGTCGCCCATGAGAATGTCGCGCGCAGTCGCTTTCCAGTCGGTCAGATCGGGAAACTGCAAAAATTCGAACGAGTTGTTTCAAACGGGGATCGTCTTTCAGGTAGGTTAGGTGGGCTGGTCCTTTCAAAGCCCGTTTTGTTTTGAGAATCACTCTGGCTGTGAGCCCACTTTGCCAAGTGCATGCCTTTACTGTTTTCCTGTGTTCAGTTCATTCCATGGCAACTTTTTCCACACTTTTTGCTTAGCCTGTCTTGTCCCCTGCTTTTACACAGTCGCCTGGCTCAGCGAAACTGCAAAACAGAGTTGCGCTCAGATGAAGCAGAAAGAAAGGCCCAGGGTTTGACCTCAAGCAGACTGATACTTGCCAATTCAGAGCTGTTCTCGATTAGGGGGTTGCATTGATTGTCTGATCACGGGTGCACTATTCTTTCAGGCACGTTCTCACCTGGCTTTTTTTGCGGAGGAGCCAAGTTGCCTTGTTGCTGATTCTTCTCAAAGTCCATCTATCTACCATACGACCAGTTCTAGCTGTTTACGCCTCCACAAAACAGCCATAGCATTCGGAGTCCCTAACATCCACACGGACCAGATTGTTGGCAGTACATCATCTGGCTTCACTGCAAGCATGTCGATCGAAAACAAATATGACAGCTCGCTGAACCCTGTTGCGTCAGGTTCAAAGTTTCGTTCGAAAACGGGAGTCTCCGAAGGTGGCTGAACTTACTGCAGAGGAAAACTTCTGCGCCTCAGAGTTCCCGTACTCCTTCTCCATGACCTGGCTGACACCGTCCAGCATGGCGCCAGTCAGCGCCCGGGCCTGCAGAACGCAGATGGTGTCAACAGCCTTCCCCAGTTATCTAAAAAGCAAGTGCTTTGCTCTGCAACGCATTGTTCCAAACCCTGTAAGCTGATGAGACTTTGTGCAGGAAAACGGTTGCACGGTGTTGCCACAGATATGAGCTGGACCAGCATAAGATTATGAATAAATTGAACATGCTTCTGCTACATAAGCTATGCATTCAAAACCAGTCTTCTAAACTGAGCTGTCCACACGTTCAAAACAATCCAAGACCTTCCCAATAACCTGCGGTTTGGTCGCGAATCAAGTTTTTCGTGAGGCCTTGCAATCTTGATAAACTTGAAGTTTTGCAATATCAGCCTCTGAAGCACTCCAAACATATAGAATCAGGCGTTCCCCCATCATCAAAATGGTAAGCTACTCAAGGACCCCAAACTATAGTAAAAGCATCCGGGCACGCCTCCATCGCGTCAGTGGGCGGGTATACAAAAACATGCCTTCTAGTGGATTCTCTAGGATGACTGCAGCAAATGGTAGGATCGAAAACGAGCTGTCTCACCTCCTTCTCATTCAACCCCAAGTGCCCAACTAGACTGCCAATGATGTCTTCCTCCGGAGCGGGGGGGCTGCCGCTTTTCTGCAAGGCAGCACATGGGCGCAGAGACTGGCGTCGTGGCTGCTTCAGAGATGGTCTATGTGAACCTGGAAGGGTGCGCCCAGAGAAAGCCGGCACTTCCTCTGATGGCAAAGTGCGGTGGTCCTTCGTGAGGTAGGCTGACGGAGAGGTAGCTGCGAGACAGAATAGTGTGAGGTTTCGTATTCTTATTATGTACCAAGCTGCGTGACTCATATCACCAGGTGCTTCAGCATCGGAAGGCTGTTCTCACCAATATCTTCCCATCGATATCTTGAAAGGAGGGGCCTCATGTAAACTTAGACAGGGCAACTTGATCAGAAGAATCCAAGATATGACTTGTTTTATAAATGGATGTAACAATCAAAAGGAAGGGGTTGCAAAATACTGCCACCCAATTCCCACTAACAAGCAGGTAATCGTCACTCTGCACAAAACATTCTTGATTCTGCCAGCTCCACACAGAGACAGAGTCCCACTGGAAATGTTCAGAGAACTGGACCTGGCCATTCCCAAGCTCACTAACCAATTGCTGTGAATCACAGGTTCTGCGAAGTTTGAATTGAAATTGATGGGCCTTTCTGAGATCCAACGTAAAGGGCGCTGACAAGGATTCTGGTCAATGAAGGCAACAACAATTACTTTGAGTCAAACGAACAAAGTGATGGGCAGCAAGAAGTGGAGTGCAGAGGAAAAATCATGCATGCACTTGTGGGACACTGCCAAAGCTTCTATGAAACATTTCCTGTACAGGGCATTCAAACCTTGGGATTTGTAATGTTGAAGTCCGTATGGAGTCCTTCACCTGCTGCAATTTCTACTTTTGACACGCACATGTGCATGCAAGTCTTTCACCAGTGATCCCGCCATGTTGAATCACGGTGAAAAAACCAAAAAATGAGGGCACAGCAAGCAAAACGTAGATAGTGGCTTTTCCGCTGGAGCACTCACCCAAAACTGGCTGATGCGTGCATGCAGAATGCTGGTGGTCAAATCTGGTCTTCACAGCTGATCCGCCACTGCTATGCAGAAGAGATGCAGCTGCGCCTGGTTGCCGGAGAACACGAGAGGTCGCCATGACTTCGAACCGAACCCGTACCTGAAGCTACCTCTTCCTGAAGGGGGCAATCAGAGCGCTGTCCTTCCACCCTCCGCCAAGTCTTTGGACTCTGAACCTCAATGACGAAGGAGCCAGAGAATGCAAGAACTCTGCTGCAATATGAGCAGTGAGCAGTGACTCTGAGCACAATTTGGTCTAGGACTACCGTATGACTCTTGAGGACGTCCAGAATTGCGTGGCATCGAAGTCTGAAATGGTTGTGCTGGCAGCAGGTAGCTCTGAACCGTCCGTCGTGAGTTCCTCTTTTATCGACGACAGGGAGCAGATTGTCATATCCACGTGATCCACGTGGGCGTACACGCGCGGCAGTTCGGAGCTCATAGGGTATTCGCACCTAAAAGATTTCAACTTTTCTTGTGGATCTTTTCTTGCCGCTTTTCTTGTGAAAACGGCCAGAAAAGGCAAGAAAAGACCGGTTATTCGCACCGGGCTGTACCCTGCTCAAGTCTTTTCTGCCCGGCCCAACAGCGGTGATCTGACGGGTGGAAATGGCTTTTATTTAAGCACCGGACGGCGTCGATGATATCCGAAGTCGACCATACGCAAGTGGATGGCATAAGCTATGTGTCGCACAAGAACCGGCAAGAAAAGCCGCCACAAGATAAAGTTGCCGCCGGCCGGTCCATTTTCTTGTGCCCGAAATGGACAGAATCGGCGAGAACTCGCAAGAAACCCGCGAGAAAAGAACAGATCGGCCGGAAAATGTTAGGTGCGAATACCCTATCACAGTCCAGAACTCGCAAGAAAGCCGCGAGAAAAGAACAGATCGGCCGGAAAATGTTAGGTGCGAATACCCTATCAGAGTCCAGTTTCCAATCAGGCTACCGTACTCGAAGCTTGTTACGATAGCCTGTAGAGAGTCGGATTCACCGTGGATTCGTATGGAATCCACCTAACTAGGTAAATTACCAGGCTTGTTCTGCACTTCGACATGGGTATGAGCAAACCCTGACTCTTGCTCGAATGTAAAACAGTTTCAGCAACTAACAGAACGTGGCCAAGGGACAAGAGTGTGACGTTGCCGTTGCCAGTTTCAAAATGATCTTGAAGACAGTTGCACCATTTACTGCTTAGTTAGCTTTTCGTGATAGGAGGCATCGCAAACATTTCGGTCGTCAAATGCAGATGTGTGATCGTCACAAAGCAGGAGCATCATCCCGATTTAAACGGGGTCTTTCCAGATATTGTAAAACATCGCTTTGTGCAGATGCAACAATGCGATCTCGAAGTGCGAGTTTCGTATCTGCTACTGCCCTTGTTGCGGCCATCGCTTCAATCGCTTGTTCAGTTTCGTTCTTGGCTTTCGTACAAGAATGCAAGCAGTAATGAGCTCTTCCTGATCCTGCTAGCGGGTGAGCCTCACTCCTCAAAGCACTTTGTTTCTGGCCCTCGGGCCAGCCCTCAATCGTAGATCTGGTTGTTGCCGCGCAAGCTAGACCCCCTTGGCCCAAGTCGGACCAGTCAACCCGCTGTTTAGCGGGCAAAGTTTACAACGCATTCGACGCTTGCCTTCGCCTTCCATCGACTCCCTACTTTTCCATCAAAGCTCACAAAGCAATATTAGGACGGTGCTTTCCTCTACTGCACCCTTCCCCATCTCAAATCGAACTCTAAACCTAGCGCTTCTTGACCGACAGCTTGGACGAGATCTTGAAGCGCTTCTTCTCGCGCTTGTCCTTCTCCCACTTGGTCGTGTGCGCCTCGCAGAATGCGAGCACGATGTCCCGCCCGTGCTTGTTTCGCCGGTACTCGATCGCAAACCCGCGCGCCTGCCCGCACGTGACGTGGAACCACCTGAGTCGAGAGTGTTAGCAATGTGGATTAACTAGGTTGGTTATGGCAGTCGCAGTTACCATATCTCAGGTTGAGCAGATCTGAAGTACAATAACGCGACCCTATTACCACGTCACCTTAGAATCTTTTTCGTGATGCAGCCAACGCCCGTGGGACAAGGGAACCGGTAAGAGTGATTACTTTCTTGCACAGTAGTGGACGAAAGCAGTCTTCGATCGCAACTTACAATGGAAGTGAAAAACGACTGCGCCAGTCGTCAAGCTTAGGAGAATAACATCCTCCTGTTGATTACTGCAGCCGGACAAACGGTTCAAGGTGGCTTTAGGCTTTGAGAAGCTTTGCAGCTCTGTAGATTCTTTGAATTCAGACATCTTCTGGAAGCGTATTTCGCCTATACATCTCGTGCGTACACCGCGCTGACGAAGCATTGCCTGTCTCTCAGCTTCAACTAGGGAGACAAATCGGAATGGCACTGCTCTTCCCCAGCCGTTGCTTTTCAAGAATCTTCAAGGTTCGACCAATCTACGACTCGTTTCCCCCAGCCTTTTAAGCAGGTGTATAATTGATGCAAAGGTGGCCCGCATGTTTTCCCGGCCCGACTAAGATGAAGAGCATTCACTGTCGATTCCGGCTAACTCAGAGAGCTCCCTCAATCAAGCGCTCCCTAACAGCCTGAGACGTTGCGGTCTGCAAGCCACAACCCTTCTGAAACTGAAGTCAGAAGCCCTTCTGGGAGATTCTGGGAGGCCCGAAGGCAAATCACTTCCAAAAGCGAAACCTACAGTAATTTCTCAAACCGCATAAAGACTGAAACATCGAAAGACGTCGAGCGGCCGCCTACCTGTCGCACCCCGTCTCGGTGCAGTGCACGCACGCGCCGTGCCACTCCTCGCACACGTGGCACAGCATGCGGAACCGGACCCGGGGCACGTGCAACGTGTGCACGTAGTCGTTCCCGTTCGGACCGAGGAAGAAGACCTCCGGGATGAAGAAGCCGCAGCTCAGGTGGGCCCACTGCCAATCAGTGGTACGTTTCATGGCGCCCCCCGCGGAGGGACAGAGAGAGCAGCGGGGGGCCGAGGGGGAGGGGTGCTCGCACCGCTCACAGAGCCACGTGCCCTGTTGGAAAAGGGGACGGGGCAATGAGTTAGGCTTTTGTGCACTGGGGAGGAGGTATCAAGACATCGTGTCTGCAGGCTTGGCTCTTGTCCGCTTCAGAGAGGGCGGGAAGGAGAAGGAAGAAGCCATGCGTTGGATGTGGAGGGGTCAGAGACGATGATTGTTTGTGGAAACGAAGCTTTCGAACACAGTGGGCTTAGATTTGCCCTGGGCGGGCCCAGAAGATGGTCAAAGGCGTAGGCGTTGCGCGGGTGCGAACGCCCAGTCAATGCAGCCATAATTGTGGAGTGTCAGTGATGGAAAGCAGGTTGGGTAGCGCAATCAGGGGTCCGGGAATGCTCGAGGGAAACCGCTTTCAAATGAGAGGTTGGTGGCGAGGGTGCTCAAAGAGATCTGTGTTCAAGCAGCGCTTACTTGAGCAGATGATATTTGGAAGTAAGGAGGTCGAACAGCTTTGCAGGTAAGAAAAAATGGATAGTGTCTTTGCTGAAAACCTGATGTTTTCAGACTTTGATTACAGCATACCGTACGGTAACACCGATATATGAGCAATACTCCTGCAAGCCCCACAGGACAGACGTATATACCAGCTTGTTCCAAAAAGGTTCAGACAATCAATCGCATCTTCCACAGAAATGAATCTCTGCAACGAAACATGCACCCTACTCACACCTTTGATTTGGAAGTGCGACATTTTGACTTCGGTTGCCAACAAGATCTGCTAGTGGTCCAGAAAAGGAGACAATGTGTGGAGTAATAGAAAACTGTCAAAATTCTGACTTTGTAACGCTGAAAGTATATTAGAGACACCAAACTTACCTCAGGGACCTCCCTGCTGAGGGGGTAGCCGTAGCAGCTTGGGTGCACTGCGAGGTCGCACCCGTCGCAGAACACAATTAGGTTCTCTGCAAGTATGAATTAACAATCATGTGAGCGGGCGCTTTGGAGAGTTGACATTATATCTTGTGATTGTAACGGGCAACAGAAACATAGGGAACCTCAGGACTAAGGCACAGGAGCTGTGCATAGGCTGAGCGCTTGATTGCCTAGATGCATCATCATCAATGTGAGACTTTGTGGTCTCATGGCCGCCATGATTGATAGAAACTTCCGTGGTGGTCTTGTGACATCCTTTCATTGCAGCTCTTCCAACATGTGTCGTCCTTTTGTGCCCAACAAATATCTTTCTGACTACCGTATGCAACGCACCTGGCGGTAAGGTTGGAATAGGAACATATCCCTTTTTACAGCAACCTCAAGCTGTCAAAGAGCGGAGCCTTCAGCCGGTCCGGTAGAAGGCATCTCTGGTATGCGGTCTACGCCAATCTAGTTGAAGCAGCTTTGTTATGCGGACCCAGCAATTGCTCTTACCTCCTTCCTTATCATGACAGATGCAACACTCTGCCGCTTCCTCCTCGCCGGCCCCTGCCTCCTCCAACCGCAGTCCCACCGACGGCAGCACTCGCTGCGAAACCCCGTTGGTGGTGGTCGAAGGGCTCGGCAATGCAACATGCCCCTGGCACGGAGACGGCGTGTCCGGGAATGCGAGCTTCTCCTTTCGCGCCGTAGTTGGGGTGCTATTCTGACCCTGCTTCCGGATTGTTGTCGACGCACCGGGAGTCTGAGCGTGGGGTGTCCGAAACTGGTCCTGAAGCGTCCGAGTGTGGTTCTGGGGTGTCCGAAAGGAGTCTCGAGGCGTCAGAAAGGTTGAGTCACGCTGCCCTCCTGTGTCGTGGGAAGAGCTGAGCCTTTCGTGCTTCCTGCTTGGAGTCGAGATGGACTCCATGTGCGGAGTCCTGGGCACTTTGAAGAGGAACTGCTGAAGGAGAGGGTCAGGAGGGGAGCTCTGCGCATCAGAGGTTGGGGTTACTGGCAGAAGACTTTGGTCGTTCCGCATCTTCGGGGGCTTGGCTTTGGGAGTCTTGAAGACTGCATCACCAATGCTTTGAGCCGGCAGGCGGAACTGTGTCGAGGAAGGAGTAGGATCCTGAGGTGCGGGCTGATTGACTGGCCTCTCAGCCAAGACTCCTTGCATGGTTTACGCCTGCGCGAGAACAAGCCAGCTGTCAACCCACTGTACCACTTAGCCTCCCCACCTTCTCACACTCCGTCTTACACTCCGTTGATCAGCTCAAGCAGCTTCATTGAGTCTCCTTCAAGTAGAATGAGCTTTTGAGGGTGTCTTTCAGAAGAGAATAGTATCTGCTGGTGTTGGCACCCGCACACTTCAATTATAACGTGCAATTATTCGCACTGCCACTTTGCGAAAATACCCTAGCGACGCCTGGCGGTAGTTTACTGGAGCTCTCTCTGGTAAGCCACAGTATTGTCCTCCCTCATCAGGCGCAATCACCAAACCACCTCTCAGGCTCTCACCAGGACTTTCCAATGTCAAATGCTGCTTCAATCTTCTCTTATTCGGTGCTTCGGTGCTTCCCGATCGGGACTCAAGAGTCAGAAACAGAGTCTGGACTCTGCAGACTGCACAGTGCAGAGTCGACGGAAAAGGCACTTTTGAAATTTTAAAACATGGCGCGAGATTCAAATGCCAGCTCCTTATGTCATGCTGCCGTCCGATGAACCGTCTTCGACGTAGACGCTTCCAAGTAGGTATCGGCTACCCGCCAGAGTCAAGTCGCGGGTGAATCTGACAAGTTTCGGGAGGTGACCTATCGGTCACAAAAAAGGCGATGCCACCTCCGCTTTTTGACGGCCACAGGTCGCACGCGACACTGGCCTGTCCTGATTTATTACGAATTGGCCGGGCATCGCGGGTTCAAATCCTGGCCGCGCCGCCTTGCAGTGCATGAGTTGTTTCTTTTTCGTGTGTTACCCTCCGAGCCTTCCAGTGTTGGCTATTTCATTGTATCATTGCAGGAATATGTGGATTGACTGGATTGAGGTTACTGCTTCACTGCTTTGACGATCTAACTAACTGGGATCCATCAGTTGAAAGGGCTCCATTAAGTTCAAGTTGCACGCACGTTGCCCGATCTGGAGTCACATCAGTGAATTTAGTGATGATTCATGATGTCGGGTGCGAAAACGGCAGCCTCGAGCGGCACACCATTGTTGCTCGTACCCCCCAGCTGGCAGTCCAAAAGCGTGCCACCTGGCGAGTTGCCAGCTGGCACCCCCAACGGAAGGGATCGCGCAGCGGAAAGAGGATTGCGTTCGCAATTTGCAGCGTGCTTTTTCAGAATTTCAGCATTGCCCACCTCTCGTCCTCCATGGCTCAGTCTGACTTCTCCAATCACTGGTAAGATCTAGGCATCCTTTGCTCTGCCATGGGCCAATCTGGTGTAGCCGTCGCGGCTCCCTTTGGCGCCTCTCAGATGGCCACATTGTCAGCTCTCGAGAGCAGGGTTGACATTTCCATTGGCGCCGCCGCTTGCAGTCAAACCTTTCTGTGTCAGCAACGTTCTTCATCAAAATGCTGGACGGCTAAGAATGTAAGGATCTCAATTGCTGGCTTCTATGGGCAATTACAAACTCGTTCACTCAAAGGAAGAAAGGACGTTTGTAAGCAAACGTTGGTGCAATGTGGTGGTAGGGGCTACACAGACTATAAGCAACTGCCCAGTAGAGATCTGGGGAAAAGAAAGAGGTCAAGTAGACAATGCTTTGCTAGTGCTGAATCGGGGCTGATTGGAGCTGTTGCAACCGCCCCAGCGCAGCAAGAGCAGCTGGAAGGGGGCGCAGCAATAGGCGAGCAGACTTTCACACTGACAAAAGAGCAGATCAATCAGGTGAGTTGAGCGGAAACTGGAAAGTTCTGAACAGAGGCAGCAGGATCTCAAATCTCTACATTGTCTGGAAGCAGGCTGAAGGGGCTTTCTGTGCTTTGCTGAAAATGAACAGTAAACATAAAGACGAGAGACGTTTTAGCAGAAGCTAGTGAGGTTCCCACAAGGCGGCGTCTGTTTCCCTCGAGCGGTTGATACTGTGAAGTCACTGGTCCAGCGGATAGCTGTGCTGGGTACCTGAGGTGGTATTCGACACAAGCTGCTGCCAATGTGCAACCCCTCTCAAATTGCCAACAACTTTGACAGAAGCCTGTTGAGGACCTTGGCGGCCAATCACCTTGATAAGCTTGAGTGCAGCTTGGCAGAGCTTCCTGGTCAAGTTCTTTGTCGACTTTGGACCCATGACTGGCTCGGAGCAAGTTCCTCGGCACGTGTGGTAGCTGTAGTCCATGGTACCAGGAGATCTGAAATGCTTGGGCCGCCAGAGTACGGTGTATCCAGAAGCTTCTCCCTTTGCCCTTGTTTGACCCCAAGCTTTTCGTTTCATCCACTTTACACCTAAATCTGCTACTGTGTTCAAGCCATTGCAGCTTCTCATGAGGCCTTTCTTTGTACTTGTTTTTGTGACGGAAGACCACATCAGTACCAACACTTGAACCAGGGACCAGCTCTAAACCTTCAAGCAGCTCATCGTTTCTTCAGCCGGCGAGCCTAATCATGGTCAGGATTCACGAAACCAGCGACAAAACCGGACCAGAAAAAAACTTACCCCAACTGCCGTCCCTTGAGAGAACTTGTGAGCATGATAATCTGCTTCAACTGCATTAAATCGAAGGCTAGCCACTCCCGCTTGACCGAGTATTGCTCCTTCTACAGACCCGACTTGCAACCCGCCCTTACCTGGACTCTGTCTTGGCCAGCCCCGAGCGCCGGCCAGAATGCACCCCATACCTGCTACAGCATCCCCCCGGGGCGCAAGTCCGAGGGACCGTCCTCTTGTTTCATGGCTTTACTGGCACTCCAAAGCAGGTGGGCTCTGATTGCTTCCGTTTTAGACCCTTGTTTTTCGGGCAGATTTCAGAACCAAGAAAAAACTGCACTGTGAGTCCGACTGAAAGGTGCACTGAGAGCAAGGGACTCAAAAAAGGTCGACATCGATCAAGATAGGCTTCGAGGTTGAAGCGATTCGAGTTTTGTGGAAGAGAACCACGAAACAATTCTGAATATAAGTAATGCTTTTTCCAGGACATTAAAAAAGTTGACGCCACTACTGTTGACCGCATCTGGCAGTCCACAGATGAACTCTTTATCCTTCTTAAAGTGCGTTCAGAGGCGTGAAGTGTCTCCACATCTCGTTGCAGATGTCTGTGCTGGCACGGTACCTCTTTACCGCAGGCTACAACGTGTACAACCCTTCCCTTGCGGGCCAATGCTATGCGGACACGGACAGGTACTGGCCACGGGTGAGTCCTCGTTCAACCGTCAGTAATTGCTCACAGTCAGTCCTGTCAAGATTAACACAGCGTCAGGAGCGCATCCGCGGTTTAATGACTACATGGCTCTCCAAGCAAAAGGGAGCAGTCAGAAATGTTATGACTCCTCCATACTGCTCCAAGAGGAAGTATCCGAGAGACTCAATCGAGGCCGAACGTCAGCTCCACGTCACTTGTTTGCCAAGAATCGGAAACCCTCGAAAGCTCAATCGCACAATCTGGCTTGGCTTCTCCAACCTGCTCGGACAGCGCTTTGCGCAACTTAACTCTGCGTGTCTCCAGTCGCCCTCCCGAAGCCCCCTTTCTCGCTTTCGTCGCGCTCATTCCTCAATCTGATTCACGAGACCGGTTACCTGTGATGTATAAGACCGTCCGAAGGGCTTCTTCGATGCACTGAGATACGTTCATCATGCGCTCGAAGAGGACAAGCACTGTTGCTTTGAATGTTGCTCCCCGCCACTACTCTTCAACGCTGTGGCCAGCTTCTGTGGTTGATCAAGTCTGCTTGTCTCTTTTGGACAAATCGATGGTACCACGGAGCTCTAGCTGCCCTATCTGTCCAAAAACGGTCACCTTCACTTGGGTTTCATGACCACAGAACGGTCAAATCAAAAGCTACCACTGTTACCGTAGACGTCCAAATAATCTCGAATTCTGTTGCCCCCAACAGGATAGACTGACCGCCCCCCCAGCTTTGCCGCCACGTTCGCCAGGCTTTCTGTGTACTTGAACCAAATGACGCCAACCAAATGACGCAAACCAAATGACGCAAATCTCGTCATCTCCCGCAAACAGGTCGACCTCCGGTCCGAGTTCTACGACCCCGTCGCGGCCGCGGCCGCGCGCGACCCCGCGCTCCGCAAGTTCTTCGCGGCGCTCGGCGCGGTGGGCGCGGCCGCGCCCGACGAGCGCCCGCCCGAAACCCCAAACCTCGTCGAGATGGCGGGCGTCGTCGCCGCGCTGCTGCGGCTCCGCCCGGATCTCGCGAGCATCGTCCAGTGCATCGTGCAGGATGATCATCCGGACTTCGACAAGTATTTCGAGAGCAATCATATGAAGTATTTGGAGCATGCGGAAAAGCGGATGGCGGAGGTGGCGGAGCTGCCGGGGCCGCTGATTACGATCGGGTGAGTGGGCGCTAATCTGGTTCTTCTTCTCTTCAAGCAGTGCAGATGTGGCTCCACCGAATGACACTTTCATAACCGCGATCTTAAGATTGATCACCACCTGCCAGATGAGAACGACTGAAAGTGGAAAGCTCGAAGCTTGAAATAGCCGGATGCCCATTCTTGAAGCGATCAATCGCCTGTAGGTTTCTGCATTTGCTGCCTTTAGGGCGTTACTGAGATACGGGAAGAAAGGAGCTGGTAGTCGGAGCGTTACTGGAGTGAGCATCTGTCGATTGTATCACCCACCACAAATGGCAAATTGTGTGTCTTCCCTCCGATTGCGTCCGAGCTTCATTAGCGATGCTAAAAGGAGTTGTTTGCAGAGATTGGATAATGATTGGCAGCTTTTCAAATACTGCTGCGCTTCAAGTAGGAGATCTTAGTCAAATACAACCCGGAGATACGATGCATGCGTGTCGGGGATTTGGACAGCGAATCGTTCCGTCGAACCCCCAGCCATAATTACTTTCTTACGTAGCAAAGCCACCCAAATAAACAAGCGTTCAAAATTTTCTTCGAGCGTGCTTTGGAGCCCAATATCTCGACTCTGTTCCGCGCAGGCTGAGCGTCGGAGGCGCCGTCGCCCTCGCGCTCGCGGCCGCGCACCCGACGCGCGTCGCCGCGGTTGTCGCATTCGCGCCCTTCCTGAAAGTCCATGGCGAGGTGCGCGCGCAGTACGTCAACCTCGTGGGGCCGCTGCACCTGCGCGAGACGGGGTACGACCCCGCGCTGCAGTTCTCTGTGAGCCGTTGATCGTGCTTGCTTTGGTATGTCAGCCGTCCGATCTCATTTCGCGAGACGGGCTACAACCCGGAGCTGCAACTTTTTATGAGCCGTCAATCCTGCTTGCTTTGGAACGTCAGACCTTCCTTGTGACATCTGCGCAAGACGGGCTAAGACTCGCTGCAGTTCTCTTTGAGCCGCCAATCCTGTTTTGCTCAGGGATTATAGTCGTTAGATTTCGGTTCGCAAGACGGGCTATGAACCCGCGCTGCACTTCTCTGTGAGCCGTTGATCCTGCTCGCTTTAGGGTGTAAGCCGTCAGATCTTAGCTGAATCGTTTGTGCGAGACGACTTACGACTTGCGGTGCGTTTCTCGTCGAGCCGCCGATCCTGCTCGATTAAGCAGTATGGGTGCAGCCGTTATGCCTTGCTGTTCGTAAACGGTTGTGATTTTTGGATGCCCACTAGCATACAGGAAGTCTCCGTCAGGTCTGAGCTGCCTCGTGAAGCAGCATTCTGTCTTCCGTGCGCGTTCTTGGAATGCCTGGAGCTTTTACCATTTCTGTGTTCCTTTCGAGCGGGCTCGCGTACCTGCATGCACGTCCCTGCTTTTGAAGCGCCCAAGCTTTCTCATCTTGAGGGGGCCGCTACTGAAACTTTGCTTTAGCTCTCCGCGTGCTAGGCTTTCCTTTTCGCTTGGACTCAAATGGTCCCTGAGATTGGAGCTTCTGGGTCAGAACTGCCAACACGCTTATGCAGGGCCGCAAAACCTCGAAGATTCATCACAAGATCCTACACTGTGAATACGGGCCACTTCCAGCAGGAGCTTCGACGAGCATGCGACTCGAATAGGTTTTGCGTGTCTCTCTTGCTGCCTGTTGGTTGTTGCACAGCAATCAGCCCTTGTCGCACTAAGTTCCTTTCGTAAACACAGCTAAATCAGCAAAGCTCACGTGACGCTTACAAGAAAGTCGCAGAAGAAGAGTGCAGAGTTGTCACCGAGCACCGAGTTTACATTCTATCTTTCGTCCAGGTCGGCTGTTACACGGCCAATCAGCGCTTTGGCCGCACTCTAGTTGCCGCCGAGAGCGTCGACGCGCTCGCGCGCGTGCCCACTTTGCTGGTGCTAACGGAGAACGAGGACGCTGCTGACGTTGCCGAGAACGAGGCGCTGAGCGCGCGCCTCGCGGCCGCGGACGCGGGAGGCGCGCGCGCGCCCCACTTGCTGCTCAAGTACGCGGAGGACGCGCGGGTGCCACACCCTATGGTAGGCTGCCACGTGGATCACGTCGTTTCTAGCAACGACACTCTGCCGTTGACTTTTGAAGGTGTTCGGTGTGTCCATATGTACTGAGTAGTATGGCGTACATCAATCGAGCTTCTCTTTCGATCCGGAAACGTTGTATTTGGTGCTATGAATGCTACTCACAACCTCTGGTACTTCCCATCGTTGCTGACCGTTTCGGTCCGCTTCAAATGCGAACACAGAAGGATTGGACGCTCGGCTGGGTTTGCCGATCACGGCAACAAATACCTGCATAGAACTCCCTCCCCGTTGGACGTCAGGTTTAATTTGTTTGTGTTAAAATGGTCAGTTGAGGCTCAGAGAAAACACTTGACACTATATTTTCGCGCAGGTGGACCCACTGGAGGAGAGCCAGGGCATGAGCAACGCGTACTGGAGAACCATGTACCAGGTACGAAGCGAAAGAGAGCCAGAATTTGTAAAGAATGGCGTTTCCGATAGAGATTGCATAAGTAATAGTTGAACAAACGACGGGCGCCATGCTCATCGTCGTCGGATTGCTGAACAGCGGTCTCGTACGAGTTCAAACACCTCGTTTAATCACAGGTTCCTGATAGCAACACCGAGGTAAGAGCTAAGACAGGATTGCTGTGGATGTTCGTCCCTTTTCGCCCTGATTATTTCAGGAGAAACAAAGGCGTCAAGTGAGCCCATTTTGTCGTTTAGATTCAAGTGCAGGCCACTGTTCCTGCTTCCCACGTTGTAGTTCTCGCCTCGCAGGCCGGCTTTCAACGCATTCTGACGAACTGTTCACAGAGATTCAGAGAGTGGATCGAAGTACGGCTCCCACCTTCCATTCAGAGCGTCGCGGTTTCCCTCCACACCTCCTCTTCATTCCACGCTAATTTGCCCTTTGCATATTTGATTGATCAATGTCTGTCCGAGAATCATCAAACTCTCCTCATCCGCAGGAGACTCTCCGTTTTCTTCTCCATCGCGAAATTGACGTCGAGAACTTCCGTTCCGCCGAGTCGTCCCCCGACCTCCCACGGCCACCGGAACCGGAAGCTGCAGTGGCAAACGGAAAGGAAGAAGTACCTCAAGGCACAGAAAGCGCCACGTCCCGATGGCCGTCAGTGGTATTAGCCCTTGCAATTTTGGCATTCGGCCTTACGATGATTGTGAATAGAGAAAAGTGTCTGGTGTTCTTAAAACAGTTGGTGAGCACATGAAACAAAATGGATCGACGTTCAACGGTTGATGTCCTGACTTGCGTTGACTCACTGATTATGAATAGAGCTCGACTTCCCCTGTTATATCTTGCTTATGAAAAGTACCAGTAGAAGAGGACGGTCCCAGCCATCATTGACTGGCGATGACATTGCAACACTAAAAGTCGAAATCTTAACTCCAATCTGCGTTAATACATGCAGAAGATAGGACTTGGAGACATTCTGAATTGACCGTCGTGCAAAAGTTGTTTTCATAAGCGGATATCAACGTACGTATGCGATCGAATGCTTGAGCTTGTCCACCGTTGAATTTGAATCAGATCACTGTCGGCCCGCCGGCCGCGGCAGCCAACGTAGACAGGTCGAATCGCGTATCTCAAGCTAGGCGAGCCCGGGATCACATGTGTTATAAAGATTTTGGAGCTAGGTCAGAAACCATGCCGTCCCACTAGCAGTACTGAGTACGTACTAACTTAGCTTGTATATATGCATGTGAGATGCCGGATATCAACGTACCGTTGTACGTACATGATGGCAGTGGACTCTCGCGGGGCAAACTTATAAGATCAAGCTCGGCCGGAGCCAGGCCCGCATGGGAAAAGGTAGCTAGCCGCAACGTACCGTCATGAGTACTTACTGGCCATTGCAAGATCATGGATACACGTACAATATATGTTGAACAATAATCATATCTTGATCCAAATAAGTAACGATCAATTTGACTTGCGAGCTGATTAATTTCAACGTACTAGCTGTCGGACCATGTGCATATCGGTGTCCGCGCGTCTCTTTGTGGCAACTCATTTTATCCAGGCTTGAAATGACCGGTTTCAATTGCACAAATGAAGACAATGATACAGACGGGCCCCCTGGCAATTCGGCCGCGTCAAAATTGATACGAAGGTCGGACACAAAACAATGCATGCATGATCGTAAGGACACAGCTCAGGCAATGAGCGTTCCTGCAGTCACTGCAGGGGCCTCAGCCCAGAGACTCTTGCACTGAGTTGACGTGCTCCTTAGCTCCCTGGCATTGAACTGTTTACCGTTCACTCGGTTGGGGCGAGATTTGGATCATAGTATGTGCATATGTGGCATTCAAGTTGCAAAGCCTTTCAGTCTGCAGCCGCGCTCGGCCCGGCCTTGCGCCATTCAGGCCGACTCGGATACTGACGTACGGCACTTCCCCTCTCAGTTACTGAACTTCTTACGTGTGCAGAGAGTGCGCGTCCCTGTTCAACGGTTATCAAAGCGCGCGGCCCGTTAGCCTGCTGAAGCCTGGTTGTTTCGTCGCAGAAGTATGCTTTTTGTATATGCGACGTCGAATGGGATTGATGCAAGCAGAGGCATCTAGTCTGCAGCGTTCTTGCTCTCAGGTTCGTAGAGGACATTGATCACCGTGTGCCGTTTCAGCACGTCCTTGAGACCCTTCCGTTGCGGGCGTGCCCCGGCCTTGCCGCTCGTGATTGCGATCGCAACGTCGTTGCCGAACAGTTTACGTTGCCACGTCAGCAGGATCGTCATGCCCAGAATCAAAACAACAGCCACCGATGAAATGATAGACAACGCAAAGGCAAGGGCCTGCAACAAAGACGGAGTTCGTTAACTCCACTCTACGGATGGCGAGAGCCCTTTCCCTTCTTTCTAAGAGGGTTTGACGGAAGAGACTCTGCCAGTGACGGTCAAAAGGTGACCTAAGATTGGCGGCGTCCTAAGCTCAACTTACAAAGTGATTCTACGCATTAGAATCAAGCCGGTGCTGCGTGCTTTGTGAGACCTTCAGTTTCACGCGAAAAACTACGCGAGAAGAGCGGTAAGTTTGAATCTTCGAAAAACTCCGTAGCGCTTGGTAACGAGTCGGACAAGCTTCGACTGAGTTCTGCGTGAACTCTGCTCTCGTTTGGCGACGCGCAGCGACATATCGTTTCTGGATTTTCATTAGGCACCGGATCGACCCTCGTTATGCAGAGAAGCCTTTTCTGGAGCAAGACCGTGGGCACTTTCAAATGCGACGAGAGAACGAGCTTGCCCGCGGTTTCGTAACGCGACAAACTTGTCCGTCAGGAAAAGGTCGGTGATGTTTACTGCCTCTGGTGAATGTAAGCACAGAAAGCGCGCTCCAAGAGCAAAGAAGGACGGAAAGAAGTAGCGTAAGCAAAGAAGTCACCTGAGTGAATCCGGTTGTGACCCCGTTGGCATACCCGATGCTCGCGATGCCAGCCGCCGTCATAGGGAATGCTGCGGAAAGAGAACTTCTTTTGTTGATCAAGCACGTTCCCTCGACTTACTTATCGTCCCGTAACAAATGATGTGGATCGGCGCCGTCTGGCACTTCTGACTCTTTAAATGTTTTTAGCGGTAAGCAGATGCGCTGTTTCCTTGATTGACGTCGACGAAGGACGTACGGAGCGGCCCCTTCGCGATGGAAAACTGCCCTCCCAGTCACGGTTCTTTTTCTGAAATTGTTCAACAGATCGTCTTCATCAGATCGGGCACTCCAAATTGCGGCAGGGGACCGCTGAACCAGGCAATCATTTTCTGAGCAACTTCTTGCAGTATTTGAGAACGCGGCATCTGGTAACAAATAAAGTCCACAATCGTGACCTTATTCTGTACGCTACTCCATATCCGGAAGCATCCTTCAGTAAGTGATTGAGAATCTTCAGTCAGGTGGGCGTAGCAGACGGAGTGCAGACAGCCTCTTCGTCGTGTTTGGAAACAAATCCATACGCTCATTGCCTGTGCATAAAGCATCTCGTCGGATAAAAGGCAACTCCCTGGCGCGGCGACTCGAGGGAAAGAGTGAACAACTTACTGTAAGCCCACCACGCTAGGGAGAACTTCACACCGATGAACTTGCGTGCCATGGAGAGCTGCACGGAAGGGAAAGGGCCAAGACGTCACGGGTTAAGCACGTGCACTTATCAGATACCAGGCGTCAACCAGGTGCATTTAGCGGCAAAACGACTCTTTCTCTCGAAAGTCGGAGGAGGAACTGAGGGACTGTTATTGATAAGCTGCTCATCTTGGGGTTGCTAAAAACGCTCGTCAGCTGCCGGGCTTCCGGAACGTCTCAATTCCGTAACAGTAAACTAGACCTGAGGGAACCCCAGTTTTGCCGCTTTGTTATTTCCCCCAGAAGTGAGAGTCCCGTTATAGGGCTTGGAAAAACCATGTGTGTTCGGGCCGTGTCCCGGGGACCAATTGAAAACTCTGCCTACACTTGTACTGATGTGAACTTTTCAAGGTTCCATGTAAACACAGGATAATTGTCGGAGCGATGGTTGGCAAGATTGGCTGCAAAAGCTGTGAGAAGGAGCTGTACCTTTAAGGAACGGCAAGCACAGCAGCTCCCCGAAGTCCCTTTACATCTTCGAATCAGAAAGCGTTGCGGAATTAGCAGCCCATACGCCTTTGGACGAAACAGACTTTCTGCAGGGTGATCACACTGGTGCGGTGTGATGACGTCACCTCACCAGAATAAGGTAAAGGAAGCAGCCGAGCCAGAAGAGCCCTTTCGAAAAGTCGTCCGGGACACCCCCTTGGATCAGCCGCCACGTGGTACTTCCCTGCAACAGTAAAAGTAGTGCTGACCCTCAAGACAGTGCTCGTCGAACTAGAGGTGCGAGATACGAAACTTGGAGCAACACATTGACCAGGAGAGAAAAGGTGGGTCTCGGACAGACGCTTTTGCAAAAGCGAATGACAACCTGCACTTGCAAACGGCTGATCCTATTTGGCTGCAAAACCGTTCCAAGCGCGCTCGGCATAACGAACTTCTGGATTTAAGTATCAACCATAAGGTGGCCCTACTTGCACCTGTCATCCAGCTCATCACAATGATCGCGTGGCGGAGTTATGAATCCAAGCAGGTTGCACGAAACAATCTGACTCTGACACGGTTTGCAGCTAAGCGTAAGGAACAAAAAAGTGTATTGAGAAGTGAAAACCCTAACTAAGGCGGCCAGATGAAGAACAACTTAGGCTGAAAGTTATATCTGGATTTGTTACTCGATCGGATTTGCCGTCTATTCTGGAGGATCATGACCGTTTGATCAGCCGCTACACACGACGTCACCGACTGTAGTGCAGCGGAAACCCAAAACTCGCCTGGAACGGTATCGCCAGAAAGAGGAAGTAGACCGGGTGCAGTTCGTCAGTAAGTGACGTCATGGACGGCAGCTGCTGGTACAGGGTTATGAAGACCACGACCCAGTGAGTAAACCCGACCGCGAAGAAGGCGACCGCGGGTTCGCGCCAGCCGCAAGAGACGGCGAGGCTCGCCCCCACGAAGCTCGGGATGATGCTCAGAAAGCTGGTCGGGTTAGCGACCTGCGGTGGGTTAAGAGAGGGGTTGAGCTGTGTGAATGGGCTCAAATGTCAGTGGTGCGGTCCTGCGTTCTAACTTTTGATATAGCATGTCAGCGGATGGCATACGACGGAACTGGTCAGTTTACCGACATGCGGCGATGGTTTCAGCGGGAGAGATACGAAGTTGCAAACCTGGGTCTCAAGAACAGTTAGGGTTTGAGGCGTGTACTCTCGCTACAGGCAGCCTTGGAGAGGGAGGATGAAAGTTTAAGTTCAGCCAGAGCTGGCGCCGAAGACAGCTTGATTTGGCGCCAGGGTTGGCGTCGGAGAAGCAGGTAGATCTTGCTTTTACAAAGCCAAATACTAGGAGCTCAGTGTAAAGGAACATATCGCATATGCACGTCGCACAAGTCCTAAGCGGACGGATTCTTGACGAAGGGTCGAGGTCTGAAAGTCGCATCGACTTTGTGTTGCTTGGTTGTCCATGCGCCGAGGGCAGGCCCAAACAACCCGTCAACGGGCCTCGGTCTTTGAAGCTGGTGTTGGTTTTGAACGTCAATCCCTCCGACAAAGAGAAAGCTGCGTGTCTCACCTTGCTGAGGCGCTCGTTGGATCCGGTCATCCAGTTGCCGTACCGCCGGATCATGAGGAGCGTCAGCGGAATCATGGGCACCAGGAAGAGCGCGTAGGGGGGCTTGTGGCTGAACTGCAAGGTCGAAGGGCCTGTTGGTGTCGCTTCAAAGTGTCAGTCGAAGAGCCGGAGGAGCCGGTGTTGAATCTTGCAAGGTCAGCACGGCTGGGTACGAACTTCCTAACTTCAATGACTGCCTGCTTTGAGAAAGCGGTGACGAGATCGTGAACAGAACGGGTGTCAATTTTACCAAGTTCACTTTTAATGATCAATACAATCGGAGCGCTAGTGTCACGGTATAGGTTGGCACTCTGGACGCCGTGAAAGAATGTTCCGATGGACGTCCGAATCCAAATGTGTATGAGGTCGCCGGAACCGGCTTAGGTAAGACGCCCGACTTCAGATGGACAAGAGGTGGTGATGCATGGTGATACTCCTCTTGTATGACACTAAATGCTAACCCATGTTAAGCGGAGCTGAACATTGCAAGTATAGAGCCAAGTTAAGCGAGCACGTAAAGTTGCCTGAGAGGAACCAAAGCTTACTCGGGGTGGAAGCCCGATCCCCAGGAAGAGGCACGCGATGAACGGAGTGAAGAAGAAGTTGGTTCGAACGGGGTGCTCGCTTTCCCTTCGGACGTAGGGCGTCCAGAGAAACGCCTTGAGCAGGTAGACGAGGGAGAGGGAAAACTGCAGCCACACCAAGGGGGCAGAATTTAAGAAATCGATCAGATTGATTGCCGGTTTCTCTACTGGCTGTTCACGCACTAGCATATGGCTAAAGTTCGCGAACGTTTTGCTTGACATATTTTCCTGTGGCTTCTTCTTTCCTCATACAGCTACCTGCGGACAGAAGAGTTGAAAACAGGATTGACTGATTGTGGTCGTCTTTTCTTCGGCTGCATTTGGCACTCAGAATGTGGAGTTACTAAATGGTCAGTTAGTGAAACCTCAAGGCTTTCTGAAACGATAGCAACGATACATACTGTAACCATACCGCACCTTGTTTAAATCAAACGCCACCCTTGCAGCGATGTTGTGACCAATAGCCCCACCTTACTCAAGCTATGCCAGCAGCCATTTCTTCCACAGGAGGCGGATCAAAATTACACTAGGAGCCAGTTAGCACCACAATATATGAGGTCAAGTACCATGGAAAAGCAGGGTCAAGATAACGTGAGCGTGGGAGTGCGCTTTGCGCACAGACTAGGACTAGAACCAGAACAGATGAAGCCAAATAACAGAATGCGCATGTCAGCTTCTCACCAAAGAAAGACTGATCTGAACAAACGCTTACCAGCACAGCCGCAGAGAAGTACCAGAGACCCTCGCTGATCTCGACGGGGATGTTGGCCCACTGCATGGAGTGCGCCTGCGCCAGGTTCTTCCAGAGCACCGTCTGGCTGCCCAACCCCATGCAGATACCAAAGGTCGTAACCGGGATCCGAAGCAGAAGTGGCCACCGCTCATCTTGTGCAAGAGCCGTCGTTTCTCCTTCCTGGACAATGGAGATTAGTGTGAGTGATTGCTATCTGGTGAATCTATGGATATGAGGCGCTTTGTAAGAGCAATCAAGTAAGTTGACTGGCAATCTAGACTGTCCGATGGTAACACTGATTATTGTCGGATCAGAGTCAACGCTTTCTATAGGGCCTGGCAGGTATGAGCGGATGAGAACCTCTCTTGTGAGTTGCGTTTTTGAAGAGAGAGGAACATCAGCTCCCTATCCTGCTCCTAGATGCCGTTTTGCATTCTTCTGGGTGGGGAAAGAAACATAGACAGGGACTCTGCAACGAGAGGCAAACGAAACCAAGCACATGGACCTTGCTTCCCGCTTTGTTGGATGAAAAGTTGGAGCTTGTATGACAGAAGGGTCCACTTTCCCAGACCTCTCCTGAGCTGCAGGACAGTACAAGATTTGGAGACCTTTCTGGGCGATGAAGCTTTCTCAGCCTTGACCCAAGCTCTTCAATCTATGGCTGCTACGAGTGCCTCCTTTCAGCGCTGCAGAAACCAGATTGCTTACCTTGATTGAGCTCCCCTAGTCCCAGCCTCTGCGGTACCGCTTTGGCACAAGCTTTCCAAAATCTGAACCCTTTCCAAATCATACCAGAACCGAGAGGAACCATAGGCTTCTACGACAAGAGAACGTAGAGCAATGGAGGAGCACAGCACATGCTGAACCTCTGCACTTACAGTCCCTGCAGCGCTTCCTGTGCTGCTTCGACCCCAGCTTTGTTGGTCAAAGAAAGCCAAAGCCAACAAAAGCCAACAATGTGAACAACATTGTGGCTCAGGAAATAGAGGAGAAACATCAGAACACAAAGAGTGCGCCTCTTAAAGGTTCAAAGAACATCCTCACCTTGAGCTCTTCTAGCTCCGGCCCTTGCAGTGCCTCCTGATATCGCTGTGGCCCCAGCTTCTCCACTGCAAGTCGCACCAAACTGTGCAGCTCTTGCAGCATGATCGTGCTCGCCAGGCCCGGGCACAGCTTAGATCGGACTAAGCGCCACCGCCGCCGCGCCTCTTCGCGCCGCCTCCATTCTCCCTGGTGGCCTGTAAGTAGCCTGGTGAGCTTGCTAAGGGTGCTGTCCCCTGCGTGTCGGATCTGCTCAAGAAGGGAGCCGGCGGAGGCAAGGCTTGCCATGGGAGAGTCTAAGAGGGGCTGGTCTATGCTCATGTACCGTGTATCATGAGTCAAGGAACGTGCAATCTGCGAGCCTTGGTTTCTAAAAAGGGCTATTGAAACCTGACAGGTGCTTTGATGGACCCAGTTGTTTGGTGGCAGCTGGTTGATCTCAAGGTGGGAAGAGTTGCGTGAGAGCTAAGCAATGAAGAAGGGGCACATCCGCTGCAAGACACTGCTGAGCTAAAATCTACAGCGTCTTAATTTGAGCAGCTTTGCTGTCAAAGGACAGCTCGAAGGTACTTATTTCTTTCTGGTTTTCCAAATCAATGCTCAGCATTCCTGAGCTCTCCAGATTCCAAAACGAAGATAGGTAATACAAGAAGGAACACGGCTTTGGAAGATGAATACGAGCGTTGGACTTGTGCCAAGACTCAGATTTAAAGTTAGAGTCGGAGCGTAGAGCAGCGCCGCGCAGAAAGCCATATGGCACATGAAGGTACACACCACTCGAGCAACCATCGCATGATGGTCCTCGCGACGGCTCGCGTATTTAACTATTACACCGTACCAATGATTGTTCTGTTGGGAGGGGGCGACCGAGCAAGTGACCAGAAAATTCTGATTCAGTGCCATTCGAGTTGGAATGGTCGCCCTCTGCACCGTACCCTGTACGTTCGGTCAATTAATTTACGAATCCTTCATCGGCCCGTGAGTCGCCGTGACGCGCCTTGCACTTATTGCACGTACACGCGGCCTGCGACGCTCACTTTCAACAAGCAGCTTTGAAACTCTGAAAGGTCGGCCTTGTCCACTTACATTTTGCCGCGTGGCCGCCACCACAGCTCAACAGGCGGCCTACTTCATGCCTAGGATGAAGTATCCTACTATTTAAAGGGTCTGCAATCCGACCAGCATATGACTTCCGTGTATCGAGATCAAGAGGTCGGGCAGCATACCGTAGACGTACAAATGTCATCCAAAGCGGTGCGATATCCCGGTTCTGAGAACGAGCGACTGTAGTACAGTAACGCACCACTGGTCTCTATCATGTATACCTACTTCAAGCTACTAAGCTTGCATGCCAATTCCTGATAGAATTGTTTCATCTTAGCCCTGCGCGTCATTGCATGGTGCTGGCCGCATGTTAACTACACGTTAACTATTATACTTTGCACTGTCAAGTGCAGAGAAGCAAAATTCGTATAATTAAAGGTGCGTCGATCATGTATAAGTTTTCTGCAAGAAGGATGTATGCACACTTCATTCAAGTCGATCCGATCGCAAAGAAGTTCGCAATACAGTGGTTGTGACTAGGTTGGCTTGAGCGACATGTCGCCAGTGAATGGGACGTTCGTGAACATGGTCTGGCGGCAATATATACTGATGACATATCGCTAGTCTCCCATGATGTGGTCGGATACAGTGTATACGTAGCATCGAGTCCAATGCAGAGGTTATTAGTGGCCCTGGATGCTCAGTAAAGCACATTCTTCACCACGAGGCCGTTTTAGCCTAGCTTTAATTCCCTGGACAGATGCCACGCAGATGACTTGATAACAATCGCATCGTACCTTATTCCTACAGAGAACAAGACTAAGAGCTCGAAGGGCAGAACATAATTGGGCGGCATGGCAAGGCAAACTTCACCCTACTATTAATGCGTTGGGGATTCTGCAACCCTCAAATCAAGGGCGCATGCAACCTGCATGGCAGGCTGGCTTGTTATTCAAAGAGGACGTCATCTGATCGGATGAGAAGGATAGAAGAATGGACTAAATGACCAACAATGTTGACTTGATCTCTATCCGGTTGCGTCGTTAAAGCTTCAGCTTGCCTCCTCTCAGCGGCCCTCAAACTCGTTCTGCTTTCGGACAACTCGAGAATGACGATACTCTGCCAGCATAACATTAGGTATGTGACTAGAATCCCTGATACACAAGTATCGACAAATGGGATGATCTTCAATGGTTCGAAAGGTGGGAATGAAGACGCAAGCGGATATTACATACCACGCAAGGGCATTGCAGCACCCAATGGCTCCTCCAGCCCATACTTGACGCCACGTATGATATCCTAGATACGCTCTGCACACGAACAGCCGATCTCAAAATCTGGTAGATGGGCTCCACACTGCTTTGGTATCTACTGCAGTTGACCGGAAGTCGAAACTTCCGCTTCACATCATGTAAAAAGTGAGGACTGAAGGGCCCAACTTGGCCAAAGTCCTGAAGGACTAGGACTATAGCATGAAAACTCGAAACAAGGAGGGCCAGGTTTGTGGTGCTAGGCACACAAGGAAAGCTCATGTCAAGCACATTTACCCCCGAATCGAAACGGCTGGGCCCTTGAAAAGTGGACTGCGATTATAACGCGAGATTCAACCAGAGGGGAGCTCCGCTTAAGAGAAGCAAGGACGACCTCGAATATTAGGTCTGCCGGCGGGGCCCGCCATCATCTGAGCGCCGTCGACAGAAATTTTGCCATGCAACTTGGCAAGGATAATTCTGGCCATCCTTATTGAAACTGGACGTTGGGTGTTGACGACTCGTTAAAGGCGAAGCGAATAAGCCAGAATAATCCGACAAAGGCGAAGGCCGGAGGAGCAAGTTTTTGGGGACTCTACGGAAGGACGGCGATTAGAAAAGACGACCGAAGACGACAAGACGATGGCCATTTGTTCAGACTGTTCATTAATATCCGCTGAAAAGCAGACCAAAGAGGAGTCGAGGAAGTGGCCGTTCATTCGGCAATTCGAACGCTCCAGTCGAACCACCAAAAGAAACTTCCCTGTTTAAACGAGGCTCCCGGACAAAAAAATCGATTTTCCGGGCAAACTTTTCCAAACCCGGCCAGGATCTTCATAGCAAGCACAAGCATTTATCCGGCCCTCTACGGCCGGGTTTAGAGGGGCCTACTGGAGAACGCATCCATTTTCGCCGCCTGACAGATATATCTCAAGCTTTAACGGGAGAACATATATGAAGAATAAGTCGGGCGAAGACAGACTGAAAACCTTATCTTGCCATCCACGCGCTCTGCACCCCAATCTGCCCTAAGCTCCGACCGAACCCCACCCGCACACAGGGCTTGACCATGTTATTTATAGAACTTGTTGTTTATAGAGTCGAGAGTTGTGCTCGATAGGGGTTAATTTTGGGGCACCCAACGGTACTTTTTAAAGTTCCTGGTGATAGCCCGATCGGCACACAGCGAACTTGGAATAAGGCGGCCAGCTTTGTACGGAACTGTGATACTTTCCTCCAATAATATTCAGGATTTTAGAAGCTGATAAGCGATTTCAATCGTGGGAAGCAACCAAAAAACAATCATGTAAAAGATAGGAGAACTTCGCAAACGCCCCTGAGAAATCGAGGCGCCAGTCAAGACCCCGTCGCCAAAGTCGGTTTTCACCCTGAGGTCAGCGACGGCTCACCGGGACCACATGACGGAGAATGCGACGGGCCAGGGAATGACGACAGCGGCCCACTTGCTCAACCAATCGGAGAAGGTCAATCTGCAGTGGATATTCGGAGTCTACTGAGCTGGGGCCAGCAAGTCGAGGGCCTCCCGAATTGAACGAGTAACTGAGCATGGGGCATGCTTAGAGGGATGCACCTACGGCAGTCGTTGCGTACACAGAGGTGCAACCTTTCTTTGAAAGGAAGGTGTTTTCTTCCCTCGTGTCGAAACAACGGTCTGTAGGATGAAGAGACAGTCAAGACGCCTCAACGCCTGCTTACTCGCTGCTAAGCATGCAATGCTCGACTCAAAAATGGTCTCCTCCAGGGGCGTCTCCAGCAGTTGGGAGGTGCAGAAGCAAGCAAAGAGGGGACAAGAGGCTAAAGCCCAGGGACTGGAACGATTGAAGGAGTATATCTTGACAGACAAACGCTGGAGGTTTAAGGGTCAAGTTGTATTCGATCGCCGCACCCTTACCGTCGAAGGCACAAGAGCGTGGAATAAGTTGCAAAGAAGGTGACCCATGCGGAATGGCTGGAAGGCCTGCGTCGAGGAATGGAACGAGTCAGACAAAGCACAACGTTTGGCTGTCTCCAGTGAGATTCCAACGGGCACAAAAACACAGTCGTCGTCTCGTGTCACTGCTTCTGATCGAAGCTGGGAGGAGATGGCTGAACTTGACAGAGAAGCCGGTTTCCGTTTTCCGTTTCCGTCTCGTTCGAAAACGCGAACTGAATGGCTACGTAGGAAGCCCGTTCAGGAAAGTCCGCTTCTAAGCTACGAAGTCCGTCACAGGCACTGAAACCGAGGAGGCTTGAAGAATGAGAGGGTAGGCGTGAGAGGGACTTGCTCACCATCCGAAGGAACTACAACACTCCAGGATCGCACCTGCAAGTGAAATACGGTCAGACTTCTTCGCGATCGTACAATGAACTGATGTCCGAAAGTGCCACATGTGTTCCCCAAACAAATCACGGTGGCTAACCGAAACTCACCCTTCAAGGGCAAAGCCTGTGGCTAGTGCAGACTTCTTAGGGAAGGGCCACCGCAGACGGTTGGAGGACCAATCTGGCACAAAGTCCATCTAGAAACGGATCGGAAGCGCTTGGCAGCTCTCCATGAACAGTATGCCGTTTCTTGATGGGGCTGCCAGTCCATCTGCTGTGACGTGCCGTGACCAATTCAATCAAACGCCCTTGAATTCCCCTCAGGTTTTATTGAAGCTAAAACATTTCTTGTGCACTCCAGTTTCAGCCCTGAAAGCCGCGAATTCAGGGACAACAGGTTGTCACAGGATTGTCCAGGCACATAGCAGGGGATGAGTCTGACTTGCCAATGAAGGTTTCACCATGGGTCAACCGCAGTAACTCACATGATGGTGGTCTTGGCTCCATGAAGAAGCGCTTCAGCGACTGGCAGAGGGCCTCATTGACAATCAAGCCTAAGCAGAAGACCATGGTTTGCAGCTCCCGCCTGAATATGATAAGCGCAGGGAAGGCGCCAAAGGCTATGGTATAAGGGGCCAGGGAGGCCAGGGCCAGGAGCTTCCCAAGTCCATCGCCCTCAGGGTACCTTTAAGAAGAAAAACATTCGCTTTTCCTGTTCGGAGTCCTTCGTCGACGGACGGCTTCCAGACTACTTGATTTCATTTCTCCTTCTTTGTTGAGGCCCATAAACCCTTCCAGATCAATCATGACTGAACATTACAGTGGCTCAGTAGAAATGTTAAATTCGTTTTGGAGTTCTCAAATTTTGTCAGGACATCCTAGGAAGTGCACCGGCAGTCGCAAACCAGGCGCAACAATGGAATCCTGAAGGGGACCTATGAGATGCGAAAACCAAGACTTGAGCTGCAAGCTGTAGTGGTGGTGACACTGACACTGAGAGGCAGAACTTCGCAGAAGAAAGGAATTGAAGGGGCCATTATGTACAAGGTTACAGTAATATCACCATGTACCATGTTGCTTCCGTGCCACCACCTATTCTTCTCAAAACCGATTTCAAGCTTTCTGATATCAGGTGCAGCGACCAGGTAGAGATGCAATGCCGACATTGACCATGATCTTTGTAGAGTTCACATAAGAGCACTTCAAAGTCCAACTTACCTGACATGCGTCAACTCAACAGACTTGTATACTGGTGGCAACATGGCGGTCAGACCTCTCAAGCCCAACTTGCTTCTGCACAACAGATCTGCCACTCTGATCCAAAGACGGTGCTCTTACTAATCCACTTGCTTAAGAGAGTAGTGACTTGGCATCAGCACCTCCGTTTTGCCCAAGTATAATGCCAAGTACGACAGAGGCGCACTGGACAATGCTGTGCCAGGAGATCTATCTCTCACCATGGGTGTACTTTCTGTGCTGCAGCACTCTTTTACCTGGGTCTGCCAAAGAGCACTCCTAGGTAAGATGCTGATAAAACTACGTCTCCCAAGGGCGGAGCCAGCTGGTGCCGATCTGTTCACCCTCAACTGGACGCTGGCAGCCAGAGAAGTGAGCTGGTGTTTTCTCCCACTGCCCTTCCATCACTTACTGTATATTGCATCTTGGACCGCCCAAATCCTATCTATTTGTCAGCTCAATCGGAGCCCGTATGAAAGGCCATACGACATCCTTCCTGTTGCATGTAAAGTTTTAATGATGCCCTACGTAGAGGCGCATAGAGGTCACCTGGAAAGCTTACGTGGTATGTACTATATGTTGGCTAAAAAGACGGTATATCTGCGTCGCTTATATCAACCACTAGCGCCATACAAGGTTCAGTATAAAGTTTGGATTTAGGTAATCCATCAACTGATGTCATGACTGGGTGATTCAACAACTTCAACTTCAAGGAGAGAGGTGGGTGCAGGTACAACTTCAAGTTTCAAGCGTTCTGTCAGACGCAACTGGGGCGCAAATTGGAGGGTGCTGTTGATTCGGCCGCAAGAAGGAAAGACAGCATATTGTTGGAGTGTTCACCGAAGCGAAGGCAGCCCTCAAGGCTGACAAAGATGCTTCGAGCTGGCCTGCCCCTGGTGCGGCAGCTCCGCGGCTTGCCAGAGCCAACGCTGGCTGGCGCTGCCGCAGGATTGAGGTCTTTCCAGACAGGATCTTCTGATCTGCAAGCAGGTGAGAATTGTGCCGGTCAGAATCTTGGAGAGTTTGCCTTGTTGAAAATCAAAAGATAGTTTGGGCATCGATCGTTGATGGTTGCGCAGTTGTATTTTCTGTGTCCGGGCCGGTCTTGTGGGGCCTTGCAAAAGCACAAAGAAAGCTTCATGTGAAGGGAAAGTCCTAGAAAGGAAGGCATCGAATGGCTTTGTGTGCGCATATGCAGTATTCAGATTGATCTCAAGCGCCTTCACATGCGATATATGGTTATTCTCAACAGGACGCGAGCTCTTCCTCGTCCAAGTGCAGCACGGTTTTTCCAAACGACATCGTTTTAAGGTTTTCTCCAGAAGTGAGACTGGCAATCCTTACCCTCAGCCACAAGGTGTCAGGAACTTACTACTTCATCTGCGTTTGCAGCAAAGCCACCGGTTGCAAGCAGCGCCGATCCTCGTGAGAAGGACTGGAGCTCAGGTTAGTCCCAGGGTTGGAATCATCAAAATGGTGCTGTGGTTTGGCAGCATTTTCTGCACAGGCAACCTTATCTATCCGGACGCTCCTAGCGAGCTGTGAGCTTTACTAGAGAGCATGATGTGCGCTATCATGACTAGAAGCTTTATGGCACCGTTGTGCACTTTTTGCGCGATGCTGCTACAAGGTTACCGCATGGTCCAGGATTGTCCAATCGAAAACACAGTCGTAGAGAGGAAGTTGCAAGCTTGAGTTGCCAAGCGCCTGAAATCTTGGGGGTTCACTTGTTGTCCCAAGAAGAAAGTTTGCACCGTGCCGTTAAAGAAAGAGGGGGCCTGGCCTTCAGCCTTTGGTTTCTGGCTGGCTCCTTCAATAGGTTGTTATCATGCAGCATATCTTGTGTAGTTCCGTCATCGTGTTCATAGTCCCTTATTATGCAGGGTGATCCATTTCTTTCTTTTGTGCCTGCAGTCATTGATTCGAATGCCAACACCTTGTTTCTGTCGGAGATGGCACGGGGGATGAACCTGGCCCTCAAGTACTTCTTTGATAAGAAGGTCACGGTGAGTTGCAGTCTGCTCAAACATGCACCTTTGCGACATCAGTTTGTCATTGTTGCCCCAAGGTTGTTGCTTCAGACTTGCCGTGCTTCAGTCGGTTTGGATCGGGTGGACTTTGCAGACTAGGTTAAGGCGATTCACAGACAAAATGACAGGCACGCATGCTGTTGGTCATCATCGTGCTGCATGAAAGAGGCTTTTGAGTTTTTGGTCATGGAGTTGGACGCGCACATGGAGCACATGAAAGAAGTCTGAAGCCAGCGGGCTGCCTAAAACATGGGTTCTGGGGCTCGTCTATCAGCAGCATTCATCAGCTTTAGTGATTCTGGTCCAATACATACTCGGCAGATGCACGCTTCCATCTTAACTAGGTGGACTTTTAAGTCAACCTGATAAGTGTTCTTCAAGATCCTTGTGGCACCAAGGTTTATGAGGCGCCGGAGTTGAAGTAGGTGCTCTCACCTGCCGTTTTCATTAAAGTCGGGTGATTTGGTTGATTCACAATCTCCATGTGCACCGCAGTCTGATCAGGGCCTATCCTAAGTTGCAGATTAACTATCCTTTTGAGAAGGGTCCGCTGAGTCCCCGCTTCCGTGGAGAGCACGCCCTGCGTCGTTACCCCACTGGGGAGGAGCGGTGCATCGCCTGCAAGCTGTGCGAGGCCGTGAGTCATCGTAGCCTCGCTCAGTATCCCTATCGTTTTGCATGTACTAAGACTTCGTTTGCATCTCAATTGGACACCGGTGGCTTCTGGCTGAGTTGGACTTGTGAGATTCTGCTGCTGTCGGTAAGTGCTAGCTTCTGATCCGTAGGAATGTTAGAAGATGTTGATTTTCCGGTTTGACTACGGAACAGCCTAGTTCCTTGATTTGCTGAGTCCACATAATGTAAGTGGGGTGTGATCAGATTCACAAAACCCCAGGTTGTAAAAATTTTAAGGCTTATCTTTTGTTTCTGCAGGTGTGCCCAGCCCAGGCCATCACAATCGAGGCAGAGGAGCGGGAGGATGGCAGCAGGAGAACGACACGGTACGAGAACCCTATTATTCTCCTGCAAGCTCTTGAAATTGTTTGATGGTTAGTCGGCTTGCAAATCATAGAGGGATACGACAGCAAGACTTATACAGCAAAAGCCTCACAGCGGCTTCAGAAGAACAAGCATGCTTCGTGAAGATTGTCTTGACGCTTCTTTTGTAACAATTGCTTCGAAGTGATTTGCAAGAGAATATTTTTCTCAGGGGCAGACTTTCTCTTCCGGTGCCACCTTTGAGAGTGGCCGCATGGTCGATTGAGAAGAAGGTTTTCCACACGAAGGTCTGCATCTAGACATGGTCCTGCTATCCTCCTGCTTGTCGCCCTGTGAATTGATTGGGTTTGCTCGGATTTTTCGCAACATTATGAGTTCCTCGTTGCCTGCCTGCTAGGCTCCCCGCGCTCTGTGATTCCCACTGGGATACTTCCTTCATCCACCGCCGAGCCGTGTTTGCCTCTCTTAGCTTACCTTACTGCTTTTGATCTGGCACCTCTGATGTAGATTGAGTCATTCATGGAACGCGTCGTGAGCTCGGCCGACGCAAGCATTGCATCTGAGAGTCACCGTTTCGTCCGTATTTGCTCTTCGATATCTGTTCCTCTTCGTTTAGCAGGCCCGTAGTTTCTACTCCTGCCAATATCGAACGGCAGTATGGCATCGATACATCAGCCATAAGGTCATGAGCAGGCTCGTCTTTTTGTCTTGATGCTGAAACCACTTCTCTTGTGGGTTTCGCAGGTACGACATTGACATGACCAAGTGCATCTACTGCGGGTTCTGCCAGGAGGCCTGCCCAGTCGACGCGATTGTAGAGGGTCCCAACTTCGAGTTTGCGACAGAGACGCACGAGGTGAGCGGTGTTGGCTTCACGTTCATGCAGTCTGGAGACATCTGGGTTTGAAAGGTTCTCATTCACGGCGTTCTCGCTCTGACCAATGCTTTCGGCCGTGTGCATGTCATGGGACACTTTGTGTCAAACTTAGGCTGACTTCTTGGAGTAACCTTTGGATGCTTTGACTCAGGTTTTTAAATCTGCTCTGTACTAGTGAGGCCGAGTAGTTGCATTCTTGACTAGCGTGTTTATGCATAGGCGCCTCAAACGAAGGTATCCCCGTTGCTGGGTGGATGAGGCTTCTCTTTCATCCGATTCGCCGCTGACAATACTCTTCCGAAGAGCCTTTGATTCCGCTTCCCGGATGCATACTTATGCTGCTCGCCTGGTCTGCAGGAGCTCCTGTACGACAAGGAGAAGCTTCTCGAGAACGGGGACAGGTGGGAGACTGAGATTGCTGCCAACCTGAGGTCAGAGAGTTTGTACCGTTAAGGACCAGCTTTCGATTCGGGTTTGTCATTTTCATGGCCCATCTGGCTAAGGTAGGTATATAGGTGCCTCGCTCGAAGTCGCCCAACGTATGTATCCAGCGACATGTCCAGAGATTACAAAGCCCGCAAACATTACCAGACTTTCACGATGTCAGATGGATCTGCAAGGCTCAGGGGCTCATTCCCTGTGGAGTTGGGTATTCGGCAAGTCGATGATCAAGTCATGTTTTTAACGCAACCTTCTTAACATTGATTGGGGACATGCATGTAAGATGATCGCCACGCACCGACATGCCTGGCTCATGCATGCAACGCGTTTTGAATATGCACATGCTCATGGCTATAGCTTTACTGATCCAATGCAATGGCCATTAACATCCAAACGTTCCAGCGAGCCCAACTACATATATTGGCCGGCCGGCATGCTCAGTTAATTTATCCGATCATTGAGTCTGGCCCTATGTGTAGTAATTGACGCAGTGGTTCAATATCCCGCCCGCCCGCGCCGTGCTGCATTCTTGGGCGGGCGCAAATCAATTGTAAGATTGTTTGTATGGAGAAATTTGCAAATTAATTAGGATTCTAATATTAACACATGTATCGATGTACATCATTGTGCGCGCGTTGTATCGATCAAAAAGTTTCGCGATCATTCGACGTACAGGGCCATTGCGTCACTCGGATATCTCGATCATTGAATTAAAACATGGCTGGTTTGCAAGGGTTCCTTGGCTTGTTATATAAGTTCGTGTCCATGGCCGCCATGCGGTAACTAAGGGCCTTCGTCGATTGTTTGTTAAGCACCCGTACATATGCATATCATGCCATCAAGTGATTCCTTTGTGCACCCGTATACCGTACATGCCCATATCATGCCATCGTTTCTGCACGTACCGTACATGCATGATGCGGCCGCCAAGTCATGTAGAAACTTCGTAAGTTCACTCGCACTAAGCCAGGGCGGCCTTGCCAAAATCATTGGATATCCTACTCGCAAAACGTGCGCGCGCAGCGTTCACATGACGAGAACGTCGAGCTCTGCTGAAGTTTCCTACGTGCTTGAATACACGGACCTAGGTATGAGGATCTCAGCCCAGAACAAGAACTTCCTACCGTCAAGCGTTCACCCTTCTCATTTTTTGCTACACGACTTTTTGTGCTCTGGCCAATCCTTCTTCTGACAAGTGACGCTGCAATAAGTCCGTGTATGGCACCGAGAGCACCGCTTGACATCGTGCAACAGAATCGAGCAAGAAGAGCACCTCTCCCCGGGATGCTCCGCTATCATCGCCTCTTGCGCGGCCGCCTGATTCGTCCCGTTGTAAATGACCCGGTGCTTGTAGTAGAGACGCATCCGCTCAAACTCGTCGTTCTGCATGTCATCCACCCCTATCGCACCTCCCTTTTGCATGTCGCTAAGTAGCTGGGTTAACACATGCGGCTTCTCGACCAGTATCTCCTCGCTGAACTCCACACAGTTTCGGCCCCAGTTGTATCTCGCAGTCCCCCTCTTCCGGGCGATTTCCGGCGGAAATTCCACCCGAAAGGGCTGCATCCCCGGAACCAGACCGTTCGTGAGGTATCCCGGGAGGCCCGCCCGACCGATGCGCATGACGTCACCGTCTCCCGAACCGTCGAACATGTTACGAACCAGCACCGGGATGATCTGCTCGTTCAAGCGCTGCAGATCCGCCGCGCTTTGGCAGGCCGCCACGTGGGCCAGCCGCATGCACACGTGGATCGCGGAATGGTAGAACGCGGAGCGGGTCAGGGACGCCACGGCCGCCGCCGCGCGAGAGTCGATCATCAGGTTCAAGAATCGCGGGAGGTGTTTCGCCAATACCACAATCCCCGCCTTCTTGTTCTTCATCTCGAGCGTCTTCTTCGGCTCGTCCGGCGGGTGCGAGTACCACAGACTCTCCGACAGCACGCTCAGCATACTCATCAGGGGATCCAGCTCGGGCGTGAACACGCGGGCGGGCGCGCGGCGCTCGGCCTCCCCGCAAAACGCGGCGAGAAACCCGGGGAAGAAGTGGGAGAAGAGGAAGTCGATGGACACGTGTCCAGCGTGGAAGTGGTGCGCCATGAGGGCCTTGCAGTGCTCCCACGTGGGCTCCTCGGAGCGTCCGCACATGATGCGGACGGCGCTCTCGACCGTCGATTTGGGCAGCGGGCGCGGGTGCTCGAAGATGAGGAAGCACACGAGTCGGGCGAATGACTCTTTGCTGATCTGCAAGAGGCGCACGAAACACTAACGATCAGTCACTGTTTCGCTGAAGAAGTGATCAAATCCGGAGGTAGGCCCCAGCTGGTCACTCAATCAGATTCGAGGGGATCCACTTTTTCGAGAAGCTGAAAATTGGGAAACAGTTTCGCAGCTTAGGACAACATGTAAATCTACGAGCATGGGTGCTCAAAGGGCTTTTCAAAAACTCGAGTTGCAAGGATTTATCTACGCTTTCTATTTGCTGCCGCAATCGGAAACCGCTGTGCGTCAGATGAGATAAGATACCTTGACCCGTCGAAGTCAGATTTTGCAAAGTCCTACAGGATGCTTAAAAATACACTTGTAGAACTGAAAACGCCCATGTGACAAAACTGCCAAGAGGGTGCAGCTATGGTCAGATAGTCAGATCGCAATGGAGAGCAAAGACAGGATCGGGTCTCGCTCACTAATTATCAACATAAAGCGCATGGTACGAACACTTCAACACGGAGGAAACAGGGAATGTTCGTTCGATTCAGTAGAAGTCTTGAAAAGAAAGAGACTGGTGAATTCTTCAGAACCTTCTCAACCACAAGCGGGGCACACCGCTAGCCAAATAGAGTACGCCGTTTGAGCTAACTTCCTGACCTAGTAACAGAAGAAGACCCAAACCTTCTTGTTCTTGGGGGGATGACGTTGTTCTGTGGAATTGTCACTGGCATCACCTACCGAATCTTTTGACGTCTTTTGCCACATTGAAACTTCTACTGACCTCTCAATGTTCGAAAAACACCAACGTTTGTGCAAGGTGAGTAGATCCTTGTGTTCAATCGGTCCTGATTCAGGAGTTTGGGGTTCGCCGACAAACAAGATACGAGCGCCTTACCGCGGGAACCGGTTCGGACTGAGCCTCCGCGAGGGCTTGCAGGATCGTCACAACCTTTACGATGTCGGCATGCTCAGCGATATCCCGCTTTCCCCCTCTGAGCGTCTCTGATCGTGCAGAGCTGGGACTGCAAACGAGAGATCTGATTGAAAGGGAAACCAAGATCCATAAATTGTTTCTACACGCTTCTAAGACTTCGAGGTGAAAATAGTCAGGCTAGTCACATGTGCGCTCCAGTAGGGGAGAAACAAGACTTTCGGGCGAGTGGTTTTGGAAATCGTCCTTGGTTCTTCGTCATGTAGCAGACTGTCTCAAGATTGAGCCAGCACTGAATGCGGAAGTAGCCCTCCACTCATCATGCCGGCCTATCAACAGTCAAGCTTCTGTCGCAATACAGGGTGTTGAGATGTCACCTTTCTGGTAGGCATAAGAGGTACAGTAAGTATACAGTCCCCAGGAAACGTTGCCACAAGCTTTTTCACCAACATGTTTGACCCCGTGATCGATATCAAGCGGTTGTCATTGGGATCATAGCCTTTCAATTGGGATCATAGCCTTTCAATTAGGATCATAGCCTTTCCATTGGGAATCATAGCCTTTCAATTGGGATCATAGCCTTTCAATTGGGATCATAGCCTTTCATTTAGAGCAAAGCTGCAGGCATCAGGCCTCAAACAAGGGTGAGCCAAAACAGGGAAGAGTGCCTAGAAGGCAAGTATGCGCTCCTGTCAGGAAAGCGCCGGCCCGCACGAATGCACATGTCATACGACAGAAGCGCCAACAATCATCCAATTTTCACTTACAGCAGCCACACGTTGAGCAGCAGGCAAATGGCAACCTCCACAGTCAAGTAACCGAAATCGGTAAGCTTCCTCTGATGCTCTAGTTGGAGGAACTGCAGCACCGCCCCAAGGAGTCCTGCGAAGAGGAAGCAGGTCCATAGAGAGTGAGAAAGGGGGGGGATGCCAGCCAGAAGCCGCTTTGAGCTGTGAGGAGGCTTTATCAGAACCTCTAGATCCAAAAAGGGCGTCAGGCCAACTACTGTAGTTTTACTCTCTGCAGAGTCAGCGATTGTCCGCTTCTTCCAGATAAGAGGGTTCTACTAGGGTCTAGGAAACGTATTCATGGCTGTGAGCAGAAAGAGTGAATGTGCGCCACCTCTGTCTTCGACATCCTAGGTGCATGAAGAACTCTGTGTTACCAGGTTGCAAGTGACTAATTCCAGAGTGATTTGGTTGTAACACCTTTGGCAGAAAAGAAGCAAGAAATGCATCTTCCAAAGCCTTCCGTTTGGCCATGCCTCACCTGCCTGCTCTTCCAGCTTGACGGCCCTTCCTTTTGGAGCAAAACAGGTCCCAAACATCAGAACAGTGGCTCCGTGATACACCATCGGCATGAATCGAGGATCCCGATCCCGCACCTCGATGTCGGACAGCGCCACCCAGGTCACCGCCACCTTTTCGATCACGCCCTGCCTGATTGCCCAATGATAGAACTTTTTGGAGACTTTCTTTGCCTGCTCGGAGCATGGGACTCCCTTGAGTGGCCTCCCCATTGCTTCGAAAAAGTAGAGAGCTTGCTGAAGTGAAGAGTCTGCAGCTAGGGCCCGCTTCTTTGTCGCCTCCCTGACTTCCATAATAATGTTGGTCACCTCTCTGACTGCACCAAATTCCCAGGCTCTGACACACAGCTCAGGGACGAGTCTGATGCAGTGGCTCAGACATTCCACGGTGTGAGCTACGCTCTCGCGAGACTGGGCCTTCAGATTTGCGCAAATCATCTTAAACAAGCCGCAATCCGCTAGTGCTTGGACTTCAGCGGGCGACGCAGACCCCAGCGCATCACAAAACTCGTCGACGTTGGACACCATTGCAAGCTTTTCCTTCTTCTTGAGCCTTTGCAAAGTCTGCCGTATGGCTGCCACCATGAAACCCCATCGTCCCCTCTCTATCTCCTCGAGCATCCGACCAAGGAGCACCTCCAGGGGATCGTCTATAGTTGTGAGTTGGGGCGGAGCCGCACCTTTCTCTGCTGCGTCACCACCACTACTGTTCTTTGGGGTCGTCATGGTGCTTAAGCTGGCTCAAGAAGGACAACAATTCTGGAGGTCCTCCTTCAATTGGACTTGATACCAGAGTGAGCGGATGCAGAAGGGTTGGAAACTGATCTACCTAGGTAGAAAGTCCAGCTGGAAGGAGTCAGCTGGAAGTCAGCTGGCAGTGGAACTGGAAGAAGCAAGTTGCATAATGCAACTCAAAGCTCGGGTAATGGGGTTTACTTCATCTCGCTTCACCCGCTCAAGAAAACCCTAAACTTTCAAAACTAAGTAGGTGTAACTTGCAAGCGTTCAAAGTTCTAACTCAGAGTTTTCTGCCGTTCAAGTAGATGTTCAACTTCAAGCAGCACAGGCAAGGCGCATTGGAAGGGGTCCTGGAGTAAAGAATGCCTGGAAGGCTTTCCTCACTGGCACTTGCTTCTGCACCACCCAGCATGAGGCCTTCTGGTCTGTTCCCTGGCGAAGGAGAAGCCAACGAAGTGGAACAGACAGGTATTGAACGCTCTCCACGCCGCGATCGGCTTTGCTTGCCAGATGGTCTTCCATGTCTATCAAACGCTACAAGCTTTCCCGCCTCTCTACTCCTTGGGGCGTACCACTTGTTAGTTTCTGTATGAGATACAGGGCATCAAACAACGGTATATTCTATTGGTCAGATTGATGAGCACCTGGTTTTAATGTCTCAAGAGAAACAAATGTGGTGGGTATGTGGTGTATTCTGTGTTGGTCGGTATCTTTTCTCACCTTTCCTGGTTGTTGCCAGTGTGCATGTTGGAAATGCCTACGAACCAGCTCATATCAATAAGAAATTCTTTTCCCCAGAGTTCTGATTCTGCCTTCATTTTCCACCACTTGGCATCGTGGCATTTAGTCTGGTGCCCAAGGAAAAGGACAGCATCTGATTTCGCCACTTACTTGAAACCACACATATCTGTGAAGCATCAAACGAATTGCATCTTGTTGCTTCTCATCACCCCATGAGCCACTTCTTACTTGCTTCTTTAGAAGTCTCTCATAAGCATTCTTGCTTCCAAGCTTGATTGACTTTCATCTCGACGCCTGCAGTGGAGCTTTTTGTTGTAACAAGCATCGTCTTACTGTTACAATGTGTAACTGGCTCGCAGAGGACCACACCGGGCAGAGATGGGGTTCACCATCACCGAAAGAAAGGCGCATTGCTTATGATTCTGTTGACCCATTCTGCCGGTTGCAAAAGAGGAAGGCTACGCTAGTCGATGATGCGGCGCCCTCTTCGGAATGGTGAGTGTTGTCAAAAAGCCCTTGGCCACTGAACCGGTGTCCTGAAGCAGTCGGACAGTCCGAAGATCTGATCGTAACCCCCATTAAAACGCCATGAGAGTTGTACGAATGTAACTTTAATATGAAAGTGGGGGGTTTTGTTGCATTTGAGGTGTCAATTGATCATGGTCATAGCCAATCGTTGCTGTAAATCAATAACGAAACCCACTTTCGGAGACCTTATTTGAGACATTGAGGTTACTCAAATAGGGCCTGCAAAGCTGATGGATGCACTTGAGACACAGCTTTATGTTTAGACAACAGGCGATGAAGCCCAAAATAAAATCTGGTGCTGACTCTGAGATCCAGGTTCCATGATGGTTAGCTCGATTGACTTGCAACGCCAATCCGTGCTCTCTTGGCACACACGTCTCACTCGTTGGACAACCCTTCCGTGACAATTCATGGACGGATGCTCAGAGTAAACTCAGAGTCCAAAGTTTCGCTTTTCATCACCTTCGTGCAATCTTTAAGAACAAAGAAACCACCCCTCAGGCAGCCAGTCAATACGCCGTATTCAATCGTTGACAACTAATCAAGTGCCTGCCCGCAGGATTTTGGAATACAGCCAGGAGATCCTGGCCCTTCTGGGGCCACGGGACGAGCCCCATGGGCTTTCCAGCCGTTCAGACGACGACGACAACGACATGCACGATGACGACCAGGTGAGACTACTGTCTCTCACTAGTCTCTGATGGAAAGATACTGTGGACCCGCGATAAGTGTCTCAATAACACCCAAGGTTGTAATGCCGTTAGAACGTTCAGATGCATCGGCCAGAGAGGTTGTGGATACTACGGGAGGCCTACAGGAGCGGAAAAGTTATAGGGGGTGAAGATGCCGTCAAAATGCTAAATAGTGCAACAGCCTGCAAGTGTTCACATTCACACCACTGTCGACTCACACTGATAATCAGAATGTGGAGACTGAAAAATGAACGTTCTCGGGTCAAACTTGTTTGGAATCGGCCGGACTCTTCAATCCGCTCCGCTGCGAAACCTGATCTACAAAAAGCTACAAAGACACGGGTGTCAAACCTCTGACACCCTTTCCATTTCGGCACTCTTAGCCTTCGTAACCACTGTAGCATCAAGACGTTGTCGACGGTCTTAGTTCGAAGCATGATTTGGGCAACAACACAATCAAAAGCTCAATCAAGATCTTGACTGTTTCAGGAAGAGGAGCCGGGCCCGGCACCCCCCCTGGCTGTCCGTCTCCCCCGAGCGGCTTGGGAGTTGATCGAGCTGTTCTACCTAGGCGGCCGGCCGTCGTCTTCAGTTGCGGAGGATCTGGTCGAGTGGCTCCGGGTAAGTGCGCTGGCCTGAAGTTCTCCGCTTTCCTTGAACGACGGGCGGTTATACCGGTGGTCTTGCATGTTTTAGTATCTGATCGAGTTGTGCAAATTGAGACATCATCATTCGGACAGGGCGTCTTCTGATCGGAAAGCTCTTGACCAAGGGAAGGGCAAGAGCTTCCATCTCTACAATGATGTGAAAGCCTGAAGATGGTCATGAACATTCTGGCATGATCGCCAAGTGTTGACGCAGACTTTTCAAACAAAAAGTCCACTTTTTAAATAAAGCGTTGGCAGCCTGCGTCACAATTCGGACTCATACAACCCGTTAATGAAGAAGAACTCTGGAAACCCTTTCGTGCCCCCTGCTCGTGGTCCCATCAACCTGCCCTCAACATGTTCTCTCGTCGGCAGGAGCTTGAAACTGTATCTTCACAGACAGCAGGGCAAGTATTGCAACCGAAGCGGGTTTTGTTTTCCTGCAGGGAAACCACAGCGTGCTCCCCGACCCTCCCCCCGGGCGCAAGAACGCGCACACCCGTATCCAGGAGCTGCGGACGAAACTAAAGACGAGACCAGCGGAGGACTTACCCGAGTACTGGGAGGCAATCGCGGCCATACTGGCCGTGGGATGGATCGATGCTGCCGTTTTTCTGCTGAAACAGCTGGCGTCGTTCAGCCCCGAGGATTCAAACCTGGAGGTGAGGAACACCGTTCGGGTCATTCAATCACATTGAATCAGGTTGAATCTTACCCGAGGAACCTGGGTTCGGCTCAACTACAATTAGGAATCGTCGAACTCGGCTACGCGATGCAAGCATCTTTCTTCTGAAATAGCTGGCGAAGTTCAGCCCCCAAGAATCTACTTTGGATCTTAGATGACGTCAGGTCTAGAGCATATGATACAGCATAGACGGGTGCGGATTGCGATTGTGATCAGTTGGTAAAGGGCTTGAAGGGCTTGTTGGAAGATCATGGATTTCCTGCATGTATCAGAACAATCTGCTTTTCTCGACGTGCGGTCTCTTGAGCTAAGCTGCTACTCGAGGGTCGCTTTGCGCAAAAGTCTTGAAGTGGGCGGAGGGCACAAACTTCGTTTTGCCCTTGCACTAGCTTCTTGTATCTCTTGACCTGAGTTGTCCGCTGAAACCTAGAAGGCCTGCGAAACTCTTCGGACTCAGTAAATGACGATTTCAAAAAAAGTATATCAGTAGTGGGAGGTCAATGAGTCGGCAGTGCCCTCGAGCAGCCCGAAAGTCTATGCGCTGTACCTCGATCTGCTGTAGGGAGGCGGCATCTGCGGGTTTTCCTTTTGAGAGCACGCTCTGCATGATAGAAGATAAGTATCACTGCATGTGAAGCCGTCGTCGTCCGTGCAGCTGGAGCGCGGCCTGATCGAGGGGCTGGCGATCCTGGTCGAGCAGATTCCGAGGTTGCGAGCCGAGGGGGAACAAGACCACCCGAGCGTACCCACGTTTCTCAAGGTGTGGCGACGAGAATTTTGGCTCTCACTTGCATCAGAACAGAAGATGTTCGATAGTCTGTCGTGCTTCCAGCGCTTCTGCTTTGGAGGAGCAACTGGCATGGCTGCTTCGTGTCGTCATAAGGACAATCTGGAGTTCCGCGTAACCTACGTTCCAACTCTATCCTCGGAGCTTGGCAGATCTATGCCACTCTGAGGTACAAGAAACAAACGCAATTTCTGAAAGGGCGGGCGAATTAAAAGTGCACGTTGGTTTTTAGGTTGGAAAGAGGAACGTTCGATGCCGGACCCTCAAACTTCAAATGACCATTCCTCACTAGAATAGGATAAAGAAATTTTGTCTGGTAACAAGAGGGCCCAGATACTCCCGCTCGCTGTGCGCCAGAGTGTGCTTCCCATAATTGATCAGCGAATTGAGGGTGTTCGTTTGCATGGATAACGCTTCCGAAAACTTTTCCAGAACCTCCTTTCTCGAGCTTCTTTACAGGCGCGCGAGAGCTGGAAGGGCAAAATCCAGAAGCTGCTGACGAGCCAGAACGTCTCAGGTGCAGGACGCTTTGCGCTTAAACCAGCATCGATCAGCGACTGATGGTTTCTGAAAAGGTTCTCTCCTTGATCTTCTTTCAGGCGCGCGAGAAATGGAAGGGCAAGATTCAGAAGCTGCTGACCAGCCAAAACGTCTCAGGTGCAGGACGCTTTGCGCTTAAATCAGCATCGATCAACGATTGATGGTTTCTGGAAAGCCTCTCTCAAAGTCTCCGTGATCTTCTTTCAGGCGCGTGAGAGCTGGAAGGGCAAGATCCAGAAGCTGCTGACGAGCCAGTACGTGGCCAAGTGCCGGACGGTGGCGCGCACGGGCCTGGAGCTGGTGCGGACGGTTCTGGCGGGCGAGAAGGACGGGCTCAAGCGGAGCACCGGACACTGGGCGGAACTGCTGGCGGCGCACCTGTTTCATCGACGGCCCAACATGAGGGTGAGGGGGATAAGTTTGCTTTAAAAGGATTGGAAGAGACCTTGTTTAAGAGTGGAGGAGACCCTTTTGATCGAAGGAGTTGGTGGTGGTATGTGAGGTGAATGGAAGACTCTGGGATCGGATTTCCGGGAAGGTGGAGCTAGCAGCTCCAACTGGTGATACCAGACTTGCGGGTGAGGAAGTTGTTCGAGGCTTTTGAGGCAACATGTGGTGTGATAATTCGTGGCGTTGAGCGTAGGAGTCGGGTAGTTAGTCGAAGAGGGGAATGAAAAACAAGGGAGAGTTCGCAAGCGAGGTGGATACAATGCGGCTGGGGGGTGAGAAAAGTTGGGGTGAAAAAAGTTGCTGCAAGGGCATTGCTGAACTTAAGGTTAGGCAGAAAGTTCCTAAGTGTGGCGTGAGAGTGGCGGAGGCACAGAGAAGAGACGTATGGATGCCACGAGCCACCTAAGCGGCGACACGGATGTATGGGCTTGAAGCGGGTGAATGCAGCAAGAAGAAAAAGCTTGGACCCCGCGTGATAGATCTTGAGGCCCTTCGTATTCGAAGCGCCGTTACCATAGTCAGAGCGTCTCTACGGAAACGGGAGGAAAAGACGACGCGTTCGCATTTCAGAACCGCAGTGTTTGGGGCAATTCCGTAAACATTGGGATAAGAAGGGGAAGGACAACTGGGCCGAAAGTAGATAGAAACAAGGTGACACGGCCGAAAACGAGGACACGCAAAATGGTAGGGAGAACGGTAAATCAATCAAGAAATGCCATCGATTCCTACGCCTCACTCTTCCCCTTCTGCCCTTTTGTTCAGGCTCAGCTCGAGATTCAGCGGCTGGCCGAGGCGTGCATAGTGGAGGCGGGTCTGAGCGGTCGGGATGACGAGAGCATGACACCGTTCGACAAGATCACGCTGGCGATCCTTGGGGGAGAAACGGAGGTACGCATTTGCTCTCGTCTTGAATCCAAGCTGCACTTTCTTGCATTCTAACCTGTGCTTACAGCAACTGGGTCTCGTTTTAGAGAGACCTAGACCTGATTCGCAACTGGCGAACATGCCTTCTGCGGCAGAGTGCCAACAATTTCCATTCCCACGAAGGCCTGACTTTTCCTATTAATTTAAGCAGCTCGGGCAGCTTGATCGCTTGTGCTGCGGCTGTTTTTCACTGCGTCCGTTACACTGTTTATGGAGAGGGTACTTCACGACGTTGTCGAGATTGAGAAAGCCAAAAGCTTCTTAAACAGGTCTCTGCAATTGCCGTTGCTGGAATCCTTTGAACGGCCCGGAAAGAACTTTATCGTGCACCTGTTCTTTGCTGCCCTACGGAGTAGCGTCGACCGAGATGTGTGAGCTCTTTGCGGTTGCCCGGACCGATGGGGAAGCATCACTGAATCCCTTGAAGTAGAGATACGAGAATCGTACACCTTTTGCTGGATGCATACAGCTTCTTCCGAGCAACCTGCCAGTTTTAGTGAAAATTCTAAACCAATTTAGTCAGTCTGTTGTTGAGTGAAATCAGTCTAGATTAGATGACACTGAACTGGCAGGTTGATCGGGAGAAGCTGTATCGACGTGCAACGAACTGGGAAGCTAGAAATTGACGCAATTTTCCGTTTATTGACAAGCTCAAGCCCCTCTTGCGTCTATGTGCAGGAGGTACTGAGTTTGAGTGCCAGAACGTTCCGCCCCTGGTGAGCTCTCCGCCCACCTTCTCTGGAAGCTGCTACGGAATCGGCTGGTTAGACTATCGTTCCTCCTTCAATCTCGTTCAGAGGCGTCCCGCTTATGTGTCGGTTCAGCAATTGTTGACTTAGAGCGTGGACCTTGCTTTCAACCCTACTTCGGAAGTGCCAAAGCTGCTGACAGTTCCACGCGTCGTTTCGGCAAGTTATATCCACCTTATAAAAGGCTTTTTGATGAACCCACACTCCAGCATTAGGAAAACGGTGCGACGGAACCGTTCTTTAGAGCAAGTGATTGCATCAAAGAGGTACAGTCTCACCACTTTTGAGCAGACGGATTTCGTCCTTCTGTCGATCCTCAGGCGGATGCAATCCAACATTGTGAGCGCATGCTTTCATGAAACCTTTCCACCTTTTAAGATTCTTATACACAGAGTGAGCCAGCCAAAATGAGCAAAGAAGGCGTCGCTTCCCCTCCAGGTTTCTGGCCCACGTGACCGAAGTCCTTGCGGCGTCCGGCGAGCGCGTTCACACCTTGCTCCAGGAGCCCCGGGAGGGCCTCGGGGGCTGCGGTTTGGAGGAGTCGTTCCGGCTGCAGTATGCCGAGGACGTGGCTGCAGAGGACGCCACGTGGCAGGTGGGGATTGGAAATTGCACGGTCCACAAGCGTCTCGGTTGCGGGCAATGATGCACATGGAAGACCACGGTTGAACAGACGGCGGTTGAGGGTCTGCTTGTTGTTGCGCTGCTCCGATTTTCGCTTTTGACTCGGTTTTTTGAAAGAAGATTTCTACGTTGCTTGCCACATTTACATGCACACGCGTCGGTGACAGAGGCCCGGGACGAGCGGGAAGAGGCGTTCCCATTGGAAGCAAAGTCCGCGAAGTTTTCGGCTTCGGTCAAGTATTACTCTGCCTCCCGGGCACAAGTACTTGATTCTATCGAGCGACCAAATAAAATTAGTCGGGTTGCTTCGTGCGGGACGGCGCAAGCCTGATTTCCCTTCCCTTAATCTTGTATTCCCGGCCTTCAGATCCTAATGAAGACTTCTGCGCAGATTGCACTTTCCTTTGCAGCGCCCTGTGCTGGGCCGCGAAACTTTGAGCACTCCACATCTTCGGACCTCCCTTTCCTTGTAATTTCAATCTCTTTTGTTCCTTCTGCGCAGAACGCGCCCTTTTACCTCGCGCAGTGCCCCGTGCTGGGCCGCGGAACGCTAGAAACACTGCTCATCAGACGGTCCGCATCAGCGGCACGCGATCCGGACGTCCTGAAGCTGCTGGACATCTGCCGCCAGTACGGCCTAGACGAGGCCGCCGTCAAGATCTGCCGGGTTAGTGATCGTTAAATAACTTCCGCTGTCAGATGTTCGTATGAGATTCTGCAAAGCCTCTGCGAGAGTGGTGGGCCAGACCAATGAGGCCCCCATTGGAATTGCAGAGAGACCTGCCGTGAAGCCCCTTCGGTCCGCAGAAATATCCGGTGCTAGTTGCTGGTCTTGTGTGTGAAGCTTGGTTGTCACGACGATGGCTTTCGGTCTGCTGTGCTTCAAAGAAAGGTTTTGAGCCAAGAAGACCATTTGCTACGTCGATTGGGCTTTAAATTCCCGGACCGACTCGGAGCCCAGTGGTACGAGGAAAGCTTCGTCAAAGATCGAGGCAGTTTGACAGGACTATGAATCTCCGCTGGCGATTACCACCATGGGCATGGACCGGAAGTTTTCGCATCACTCGAGGACGTAGCTAGTGCAAATTGGTGGCCCCAATCCAGAGCGTACTTTGCAGGGCACCGTAATCCTGCCGAAACTCTCCTTTTCTGCGGAGAAGCAGTCACCGAGGTATCTGATAGTCAGCGGTGCCGTCACATTGGTCGGGAACATAGCTGATGACCTACGGTTCACACCGATGGCATCTGGGAATGTGGAGTTCAAGCGACGCGAGTGCAGTCCACGGGGATTCGCAATCGCGTGGTTGCAACAGGGCACGACAACAGGCGTCGACAAGAGCAGAACAAAAAAAAGATTCGATCCTGAAACATTTACTAGGCAAAGCGCACACTGTGAAATCTGGATCTCACACCAGAAGATGCGGGCGTCCAACGATGGGAGCACCAGCAAAGGGGACCCGCGGTTGATGGCTGCAGCATAGGCACGACGACAAATAACCAGACTACCCAAAGATCTGGTGTGCAGGCACATCAATCAAAGCTCAAAACCCTAAACGTCAAAGCCTGTTCCGCAGAACGTGGGCGTCCAACGGTGGGAGCGCAAGCAGCGGGGATCGGCGATCGCGTGGCTGCAGCGGGGCCGCGACGACAAACGACTGAACGCGATCGCGCACGAGCTGATTGAAGAGGTGACGAACGCGGAGGGCGAGGGCCTGGATGCGATCGGGCTGCTGCTGGACAACGTCAGCACGGCCCTGCCTCTCTCGGGCTCGCTCGCGTTTCTGCAACGGTGAGCTGACAAGAACTGTAATCTCATAGAGAGAAGCTGGTCTCTAGAAGGGGTATTGATTGTCAACCTCATTTCATGGAGGAGGACACGTAACTCTTTTGGGCTCTATGGCGTTCCTCAACGGTGGATAGGGGACTTGACGCTCCGCAATCAAGGGTGTGGGTAAGGTCGTCAGATGCAAACGTCAAAGGGGTGACCTGCCGCACTCAAGCTCGCTGCGGTTTCTGCAACATTCAGTCAGCGAAGTTCTGAGACACCTCTGGGGGAGTCTTCGTTTCGGGGTTCGTAAACCACCAGTGTGGGTTGGCGTGGATGCGAATGACGGCCGCTGATTGTGGCGGCGTTCTTGCAAAATACTAAAATCTGGAACCAGAAACAGCTGCCGAGCTTTTGCAGAACTCTGGCAGCGAAGTGATTTTCGGGCACGCAGCGTGGAATGGGGCTTCCTGTGTTCAAACGCAGTTGACCCGCACCGTGGCACTCAAAGCGAAGATGTGGCACGACTTTAACGGTCAAGCTCAGCGTACGCTCTCTTCCCCAAGGACGAGTTCAATGTACGTCTCACTTCATGTTTTTATCTGAACACGAGTCGAAGTGCACACGTATCGCAAGGAACAACTTGTGTGTCCTGCAGACGAATTTGAATTTTCTTTTTCGCCGGTGCAGGTACCGGAAATTGCAAGCGACGTTGGCCCTCTTGCGCTCGCCCCCGGCCGAGGGGCTGCCAGCGCAGTTACGGGCCGCAGGGGAAACGATTGTCGCCCTTCTGACGCCGGGCATGGCTCCCCGCCAGTTCTGGCTCACCATACTTTTTGACGCGGTACGTTACTTTCTTGCCGGCTTTCAGGGATTCGGTGTGCAATACTAAATTCTTTCTGGAAATATGCGTTTCGTGCTAGAGGTTACGCCTTCCATCAACTCTGGCCGCCCACCTGGACCTTACGTTGGACCAATAGCAGAGCCAAGAATCGTCCTGCATGCAACGGACTACCTTTAGTGAAAGTCGCAGATGAGATCCGGCCCAAGCGGCCAGTCTTGACAAAACCTGCTGTGAAAGTTCTGTGGGTACTCTTCTGAAGATGCCAATGCTTTGGGACTGAGCGGTGACGATGTTTAGGTGCATTGCGGTACTCGTCAGTCCTAGATCCACCTCTACCGAGAAGTATTGATACAAGAGAGCAGTGATTGCCAGCTTAGACGTGGGGAGTGAAACTCCAACGTTCTCTCTGCAGATCCCCCTTCTCGAGTGGCCGGGCTTCACAGTGTTTGACTCGCGGCAGACCTTCCATCTGATGGCTTGCTTAGAAGAACTGCGGACTTCGCACTTGCATGACGAGTATTTGAAAAAGGGGGGTGAGGCGATTGATGAGCTGACACTGCAAAGGCTGGATCTAGCGCTTGCCACAAATCTAGGGCGGGCTTTCGTGAAGGATGCAAATCGGACATAAGGCCCGTGTTGAACCAAGACTGATTCTTTCGATGGTCAGCGTCTGTATGCTTCAAATCGTTCGAGTCCTTCGTTTGTGACTGGTATGAAACTCTGCTTTCATGCATCAGGGAGTAAATCACTATATGGGCCTATAATCGAATCATTGAGTACGATCATGTTGAAATGACTGCAGGGTCAGGTCGATCAATGCATGCCAGAGATGCACGTCTTTTCATGATTATAGCCTATATCGGATGTCACTGTGGTTATACGTGACTGCTGGCAAATTCACATATGGGGAAAAAGGCCTATAGTACGTCGGCCGGACCGACATGCATATGATCAATTGCATGAACGATTTTTGCAACGATCGTCTGCATGCAGCGCATGTCCGATCCACTGAGCTGATCGTAATTTGCATGCTTCGCCGGAAACCAATCCAATCGAACATATATCGCGTTCAAAATTCAGTGACATTCTGCCCATGGCTTCACCTTTACACATCCAACTATACATGTCACCCACGTCGTGCGCTGAAGCTTGGACGACAGTTAGGCCCGCACATGTGCATTCAATGATTGCAATTGCATTGACAACCCAGTATACTTCATCTCCTGTCGAAAGAAGAATTACGACAAACTCGACTTCGCCCTCCATTGATGCATCTATGATAAACCTACGGGAATGTTATCGAGACTCGAAGTTTCAACTTCTGCTCAACGAAGTTTTCTGCTAGCAACTCTTCACTGCTTCCTTGACTACCAGCTCTCAACCTGATGGCCGTGAAGTTCACCCAGTCTTCGCCCATCGCAATCTGCTGGCTAGTCGGGATGTTGCCTACAACGGTGAATCCTTGCCCTTGATCTTGCTCAACTCGAAGTTTGACGAACAATGGGTTTGAATTGTCAGGCTCAACAGCATTTGTGGGATGGTTGTCCGGCTCGGCTTCGCTAAGCCAAAAGGACGTGCTCAGCTTTGTGACTAGCACAAACGTTGAAGCAGAACTTCGAGCAAGGTCGCACTCAAGCTTGTATCCAAAGAATCTCCTTCTATCAACGGAAAAGATATCGTCCTGGGCGAGTCCGCATACTTTGGCTTTTTCAATGGCTAGCTCGAAGGTCTTGGTCAAGGGCGTCACTGCACCTGGTCGCGGCGGAAGAACGTCCTGGAAGGAAAGCCTGCTTTTGGTTTGACGAACAATCTCATGCTGCTCGTTTTGCAACCCCCGGAGTACAAGCGCTCTCCTGATGACCAATGCAACCTCCGCGGATTGCGTTTCAGGCAGCTGCTGGATTAGACTTAGGAAACTGCTCGTCATGTGGTGGTACCGGATGAATCTGCTCAGGTCCGGAAAGGCCCTCCCCCTGCCCTCCCCTCCTTTCAACCATTTGTAGACGATAATGATGCCTACAAGAACCGTAATTTGTAGGCATCATCTAAATCCAGCATCTTAGATTTGATCAGCTTTTCGCTGAAAGCAAGAAGCCCCTTCATTGACCCCTGCTCCCGAATGCTCTCCGGCAAGTCTAGAATCCGACACGCATCTACCAGCTTTGCATCTTCCTGGAGCGCTTTTGCAATTGGCTCTACTGCCCTTGCCAACGGAGTACCGGTCAGCTAGGATGAGAAGCCGAATCAAGGCCTCTTTGTCTGAGCTCATGGCATCCGGGATTGACTTGGTGTAGC